ACAACTCAAAGTCCTCTTTTCTATCCATACCTGACTTTAAACAACATTTCCCATCAGGAAGTTCTTCACATTTACCCCCAAATCCTTTCTGCTATAGTTAAAACCCATTTCCTCAGTGGAGATTTGAGACAGCTGGTTCCCATTCTCTTTATGGCAACTCTTCTTAAAGATTCATAGGTTTGTAAAGGACCTTCATACCAACCTCACCTAAACTCCCTTCTAAAGTATTTCGCAACAACTTTCTCCTATATATACGTCAATAACCAACTGCCTAGTCTAACTCTGACTCATTGTGGAGATTTCTCCAGCCTCTATCCAATAACTTAGAAGAGACAAGGGCAAAAGGGTAATCACTCTGTACTTAAATTATTTAATACCTGCTTTTGTGAAGATAATGCCATATTTGAAGTTTGGGACCTAATGAAGACTACATTAAAGCAAAGTACTTACATCTAAGTTAGGAAAGCATTCCAGAATGGCAGTCTTGTCTACAACCTTGCTCAAGAACATTGTCTCTTTGTGGGAACAAGGCAAGGCATTTTAGAATTTTGACAAATAGCACCCAATTTTGGTCTCTTGAAATTTGTTTCTGTCTTCCCCCACCATACATATCAAACCATTTCTTCTCTAAAGCATTTTTTTAATCTGAAGCAATACAAAGATCTTCAGCTGACTTCTAGAAGCAAACAACATATGTTCCTGAACATCTGTGCTTTTCCCAAACTATTTTTTCCCATTATTGTCAAGAGAAAAGAAGTTTAGTGTTTCTCCACAGAGGCACAAGTCTAAAATACTCCCTGTTGATTACATATAAAAGACACCAAATATTAGTTTATTAGAAGCAGCTTCAAATATTGCTGTACAAAGCAGTTCTCCAATGGAACAGATTTATGAAGTAATGGCTGAAAGGTATGCAGATCACAAGATCCATGACAAATATACTTTATTACACGGATCAGAAATTCCATATGTCCTTGCAGTTACTGTACAATGATACACAACACCCAACTAAGACCACTTAGAGATTTTGCTGATATTGAAAACTATAAAGACTCAATGTGAGAGTAAGAAAGTGTTTCATAAGATAGCATAATGCCAAGACAATTAATCACTTTAGGACATAAAATACATTCTGCCTATTACAAGTCTAATCTATTATAAAGTGATGCCATTCTTTAAATTAAATTCCAAGTGTTTACCCTGATCATTGTTTAAAGCAAATATTTATAACAGTTTTCCATGCTTTAATTTGGTGCTTAATCAAATGAATACTGCATTCAGCATTAACAAAATTTAGGAATTTCAGATTTTGTTATTTCCACCAAAAAAAAAAATTAGGTTTACAGCATATAGAGAAAAAAGCCTGCTTAGACCAAAATCAGAACATCACATTTCAAACACAATTTTCTATCAGGCATTTCTTGGCTGAAAGGACTTTAACAGCTTTGAACCTGAATTCTTAGTATAGTATTGAATCCATTCTGCTACATTCCAACCAAGTGGAATGCAGCCTGAACTCGATAGGCTCCCAATTCAGTCCATCTCATCCCCAGTGTTCTAGTTAGGAGATTCTCTTCAGATTGCAATCTGTCTCTGCAACTTCCCATCGTGGGCATTCATTCTATTCCTCCTCAAACTCTTTTCTGATCATAAACTATGAATGAGTATTGACCTCACATCATTGATTTACAGATTCAATAATTTACATTGGCTGCTGTGTTGTTTTGGATAGAGATAATTTATCATTTTATCAAATGAGTTTTATTGGACATTGAATTGCATTTTTTTTCCCCTGCCTTAAAATAAGTATAAGAACCCTTAGCAATCAACTATGTAAACCTTAGGGTTTTTTATAAGTGGACCTCTACCTTTCTGGCTGTCTGAAAGTCCTCCTGGGACAGTAACCTTTAACCTGGTGTGAGTACTTAATACTCCCCACTGACATCCAAATATTTCCCTATAATATTGGTGTCTTTTGCAATGATGTTTTCAAATGCTTGAAAATATAAGAGAAAAATTACATTTTCAAATCACTCTACCTGGGCTGGGAAGGTGGCTCAGTGGTAGAGCGCTTGCTTTGCATGCCTGAGGCCCTGGGTTCGATTCCTCAGCACCACATAAGCAAAAAGGAAAAAAAAAAACAAATCAAATCACTCTACCAGATGGCATGAGAAGTCACTTGTAGCTAGTTAAGTAAATAGCTCTGTATCTGCATTCTACTTGTCATCTTTATAAATCTGATAATTCCTTGAGGTTTCCTTTTAAATTTTTCTTTCTTTTTTTTTTTTGTGAGTCCTGGAGCTTGAATTCAGAGCCTTGGGCACTGTCCCTGAGCCTCTCTGTGCTCAAGGCTAGCAGCAATATACCACTTTTGAACCATAGCTCCACTGGTTTTCTGGTGGTTAAATGGAGATAAAAGTGTCAGGGACTCAGGGCTTTGAACAGTGATCCTCAGATCTCAGCCTCCTGAATAGCTAAGATTACAAGTGTACACCATCAGCACCTAGCTTTCTTTAAGCATTAAAAAAAAAATCTTTATATAGTCTTAAGATCTTTAAAAACAAGAATGTTCCATTCAATTCCTAATGTGATTTAGCTCAGTCTCATTCCAAAGATGATCTGGTCCTCGAGCTCCACCTGGTGGTTTTATACCAATTCTCTGGAAAAGTAAAAAATGACAAATTTTAAAAAGGTATGGTAATTATAGAAAAGATTATAGAACTATACTATACTTCTCAATTTCTTAACCTTGAAGAATAAAATAACAAATAAGTGACCATATAATCATTGAGGTGGGGAGAATGCTTGGTGTCTTAGACCTACTGATAATATTATACTGGGAAATTTCTCCTCTCGCTAACATGTGATTTCCAAGTTAAATTTTCTTGATAGTAGTATCTTTTATTTATTTTTAAGTTATTGAATCAATTTCATGATTAGACACACTTAAGTCAATATCCTAAAATTCATGGAGAAGGCCTGGATAAGAACCCAAAGCTTCTCCACAGGAGTCACATTAGAGGTTATCAGCCATAGATAGAAAAAAAATAAACAAATTCCAGATACTTCAACTTAGGAAAAACTACCAAAATTTAAGTGTCAAATGTACAACATCACTAATGAAGACAATTCCCATGATGGAGGGGAAAAAAGAGGATAATTTTTTTTGGTATCCCTCACAAATACAGTAGTCATAACATTAATGAGCTCATCTTCCAACTCACATTTAGCTTTTTTTTTTTTTTCAGTAGTATAGGAGATAGCCTTCCAGGCTTGTACATGCTAGCAAAGACGTGCCACCAAACTACATCCCTATTTCTTAGCTTCTTTAAGAAAAAGTATTGTATGTATTTTATAATAGTCACTAACTTTTCTATGAACTATTGAGTAAATTATAACCCATTACACTAAAATAATTTAGAGATTTTATTGGCATGAACTTTTGCAGATTCTGATCTGCAGAATTTCAGTCATGTTATATCATTGCTGCAAGGTCCTGTTTATATTGTGCCCCAACTTGGCACCATATGTACGGCTTGAAGACCAAGTGCTCTCATTCATATTTCACCTTTCACATTGTTTAAGAAGCTGTCAAGAGCTGGTAACTCAATCTGTAATCAGGAGGCTGAGATCTGAGGATCACAGTTCAAAACCAGTCAGGTCAGGAAAATCTGTGAGACCCATCTCCAATTAAGCACAAAAAAAGTTGGAAGAAGAACTATGGCTAGTCTTTAAAAATAAGCTCAGGGATCCAGGCACTAGGGCTAAATAAGATTACAATTGAAGAAGGCTAAGTAAGTTTTCCAGGAAAAATCTTTGTTGGCCATGGATCTTGAACTCTTGCCTGGGCGCTGTCCCTGGGCTCTTCAGCTCAAGGAAAGTACTCTACCACTTAAGCCACAGTGCCACTTCTGGTTTTCAAATGGTTGATTGGAGATAAGTCTCACAGACTTTCCTACCCAGGCTGGCTTTGAACACAACCCTCAGATCTCAGCCTCTTTTTTTTGGGGGGGGGGGGGGGGGGGGGGGCAGGGGGAGAGTCCAGTCATGGGGCCTGAACTCAGCCTGGGCACTGTCCCTCAGCTCTTCAGTTCAAGGCTAGCACTATACCACTTGAGCCACAGCGCCACTTCCGGCTTTTTTTTTTCTGCTTATGTGGTGTTGAGGAATCGAACCCAGGGCCTCATGCATGCAAGGCAAGTGCTCTACCACTGAGCCACCTTCCCAGCCCCAAATCTCAGCCTCTTAAGTAGCTAGAATTACAGGCGTGAGCCACTGGCACCCAGCCCTGAGATATTTTAATACACCCTAAAATTAAGATTTTTAATATATAGCATTTTAAAAATTTATTGCAAAGGTGATGTATAGGCGTTATTTACATAAATAATGAGTACATTTTTGAAGTGTTACCCCCTCCCTCATATTCTCACATTCTCCCAGCCCCCTGCCACCCCAACTCCTTTACTCCCAAGTTTGTAAAGTTCAATTCTAACTTAAGTGTCTAGTGAGTATCACTGTTGCATTGGCTGACTCTTTGTCCTGCCATTTCTGTGACTCCCCTCCCCTTCTGCAAATCAGATAAAATTACATACAAAACAAAGCGTACAGAAATAAAAAACAGTAATAATGGCATAAACAAAAGGGGGAAAAAAAGAAAAAAGACATTACTGCAAACAGTAATTATAAAAACCTGTTTCAATTTTGATAAGCTTCATTTTACATGGTTATATGCACCTACCTATTGAGCTATTGTGATCCTATGCTAAGAAGAGTATCACATTCTAGTTAATATATATTCTAGTTAATACAAATGAGGGAAACTATGCAGCCTCTATTTATTTGGGTCTGGCTTGCTTTCCTTAATATAATTGTTTTGAAGTCTTTCCATTTCCTTATGAATGGGGCAATGTCACTAAAATTAAAATTTTTAACAGGAATCTGGTCTCTAGCACTGGGAAACCCTAGGGATATACAAAGAAAAGATCAAATTTCAATACCTATATAGAAAATATTTTTTATTCTGAATTATACAAATTAAACACACCAAGCAAGTATTGTTCATACAATCTGGTGTCATACTTTTAAATATTATAATACCCTTTTAAATACATGAGTTCAGTCAGTTCAACAGTATATCATTTGTTTGATTTTCACTGATATTACCAAATTGCCAAAATGATTTCAACCATGTTGAACTGTGATGTCTTACAATACCTGGACACTGGAAACATCAATATAGCTTTGACTCATCAAAGGAAATTCAAGAAGTTATTTGAGGGTATAAGTGGAAGAAAATAAACCCAGTTAAAAACAAATAGTTTTCACTCTATGAAATCAAGGTATACATTTTAATCAAACATCTGTCCCATTGATACATTTTCAAGTTTTTAAGAGGCTACCAGGCCAGACCCTTTGCTGCTTTTGCTTTGTTTTTTCCTTTTCCTTTCTCTCGCTTTGCCTTCAGCCGTTTTCTCTGCCTCTGGTTCATCCATACTGGGTACTGTCCATGCTGGTCTAAAAGAGTTTTTTTGTTTCTCTTAATTTCAGTCTCCATCTTCATGTCATCTGAATAAATAAATGAAAACAACTATGAACACCCATGCATTGAAAAAAAATAAACTGAAGCTGGTCTGAAGCTACAAAAGAAAACAAAAACGAAGTAAAAAGCCAATAAAACCAACCCTTATTTGTAGCATGTTCTTTGACAGCTACTGAAAACTCCTTAAAGGAAACTTAGAAGAATTAAGACATATACTGACACAAGTAAGACATATACTGACACAAGTTCTTTTAACCATTAAAGACATACGATATGTCAATAGCTAAGGACACCATTTACTTTGCTGAGAAACTTTCTAAAGAATGTCCTTACTAGAATAGTAAAGTTAAGTAGGAAATACTTTAGGATATATAGCTTTGATTGGCTTCATTAGTGGATAAATGGAGGGTTCTGAATACCTGTGAACTGTCAAAACAATTCCCATAATATCAGGTGATTCTTTGAGTAAAATAAGGCAGTTGAACTAATAAGTGCATCCAAGCTTCATGGCCATTACATATAAGTAAATGTACTCATTAGGAAAGACTGGTTATTTCTTAGGAACCTAATTAAATTCTAATGGACTTAGAATCAGATTCTAATGAACTTAGAAAAGTGGTCAGTGACAGAGTTGTGATGACAGAGACAGGCAAACAACATATATGACAGACCTGAATATATACGTCCTCAAGCTTCCAGATCAGATCAGTGCTATCCACAGACCAGACTCAGTGCTACTGACAAAGAACTTGACACTGAGCTCTGTGCAACTTCACTGTGGTATGTCTAGCAGCAACCTTATCTACTGTGAAGGAACATCTCCAGAATATTTGCCCCTGAGACCTCATGATTACATTTATATGTAAATGTAAATCCAAAGAGATGGTTAAGTATTTTGTATACCTAATGTATTTTGGCATAATGAGGACATTTTGGAACTAAAGGTGATGGTGGCCCTTTGTGAAAGTACTGAATGCCTCTGAATTGTACACATTAAATTGGTTGATTTGGGATTGGGAGTATGGTTCAAGTATGAGTTCAAGCCACAATACTGCAAAGAAAAAAAAAGTTAGCTTTGTTATATAAATTTGGCCTTAAGAACTAAAGCAGAATAAAAAGGCAGAGGTGGCATATATGTTTAGAATGGGAGGCAGCAAATGAAGGTCAAGTGTTTCAAACCTTCAAGGAGAGAGAAAGATGAAATCAAGGGATATGTCAGACCATAGTATCTTCCAGCAGAGGGAACCAATAAGAACAGGATGCTTGAAAACAGTATGAAAATGCAAAAGAGCAAAGGATTTACAAGTAGAGAAATTAATTTTTGAAAGTTTAATAAAAGAAGGGAAATAGATTGTAGAACTGAATTCTTAGAGAGCGAAGTATTTTTTGTTGATTACATCTAAGTTTTACAGCACTTGAAATAAAGAGCTTTCTGTAATTTTTGTTTGTATAGGGAGGGAGATGGAATAGAAAGAGAAAGTTTTAAGGGTCACTTTGAAGAATGGGAAACTTCTAAGATTGAAAGCTTGAAGAATATGCTCTTTCCTTTAACTCTAAGACACCTCATAATTACACAGATACTATTTTAAGAATCTGGATGTTGTTAGTGGTTAATTTAGCTTGTGCCAAACTAGTCCATTAGGATATAAAGAACAATGCACATTTTCCAAACTGAAATCAGTATTAGATGTAACTTCCAACTTTATGATTAAAATACACAGGTCTTGTCTCTAGGATCTGTAAAGATTAAATATAGTAAAATTCTCAAAGTAATAGCATTAAGTACATAAGATTCACAGAATGGAAACTACATTTGCAAAGATCCAAATGTGAAACTACCTTTTTGGGGGGGGGGGGGGGGAGGGGTAGGGTCCGGTCGTGGGGCCTGAACTCTGGGCCTGGGCACTGTCCCTCAGCTCTTCAGCTCAAGGCTAGTGCTCTACCACTTGAGCCACAGCGCCACTTCGGGCTTTTTTCTTCTTGCTTATGTGGTGCTGAGGAATAGAAATCAAGACCTCATGCATGCAAGGCAAGTGCTCTACCACTGAGCCACCTTCCCAGCCCCTGAAACTACTTTTTTTTATCCTGCCTAGATGTTGACTGAATTATGCACCCATTCCAATCAAGGCATATTTAAATTTATCTTTTCTTACAGTATAAAATACACCTAAAACAATCAAGCTGTTGTATAACCACGAAAACTCACTGTACATAAAACAGTCTAGCATAATCTCTAGTAAGTACAGTAAGCCTTCAAAAGAATAAACATGTTGGTAAGATCAGGGGTGTAGAGAGGAAAGCAGATGTGGAGATTGGTTAATGATAGTCAAAACAATAAAAGAGTGGTAGAGTGCTTGCCTTGCATGCATGACGCCCTGGGTTCAATTCCTCAGCACCACATAAGCAGAAAAAGCTGGCAGTGGTGCTGTGGCTCAAGTAGTAGAGCACTACCCTTGAGTTGAAGAGCTCAGGGACAGCACCCAAGCCCAGAGTTCAGGCCCCATGACTGACACAGACAGACAGACAGACAGACAGACAGACAGACAGACACACACACACACACACACACACACACACATACACACACACACACACACACACACACGGAAAAAAAAAATCACAAAAGAAAACTGATAGTTTTTTTTTTTTAAATGAAGCATATAAACTCACCCTTTTCATCCTTCTCCACACAATCCATTTTCTCTTGGCAATGTTTGGGTGCCACCACAGTTGCTATTTCTTCAACATCTTTCATTAAAACATCACCATTGACTTTGAGAATACTTTTAAGTCTGTTGAGTTCCTTTGGGGCATTCTTCTTTCTCTTCTCAGCGCGCATTTTCCTTTTCCACTTACTCCGTAAACTTTTAGCCATGCTTCACCTGGTAGTTACAAAAATACATATTCAAAACAAACTGTTTACTGTTTTTTTAAAAAAGGACAAATCCTTGGGAAACTAGACCAATAAACATCTCTACAAAACAGTAACAAATGGAAGATAAACGACTTTGTTCAAGAATGGCTTCAGGTGTAATTTCTGTTAGTATCAATGTGGAACAAATAGTCATTAAAGAACAAGAAAGACAAATCAAACTCCCTGTGATCAAGGCAACTGTAACCCAATTCCAAAAGCTCTTAATCATATGCAAAAAGTACCATTACTTTACATTTATTCAAGTTTACAAATTACAACTGGGGGGGGGGGGTCAGTCTTGTGGCTTTAACTCCGTCTGGAGGCTGTTCCTGGGCTTTTTTTTTTTCCCCCTCAAGGCTAGCACTCTAACAACTTAGCCACAGTTCCACTAAAACCTTTTTTTTTTTTCCTTGAGGGGTGGTGATAATTGGAGGTAAGAGTTTCATGGACTTCCCTGCCAGGGCTGGTTTCCAACCACTGTCCTCAGGTCTCCACCTCCTGAGTAGCTAGGATTACAGGGGTGAGCCACTCTCCACCGGCAAATTACAAGGCAATCCTCCCATTATTCTTACCCTTCCCCTCAGGCCAAGCTACTTTAAATTTATCTATTTCCATTCTAACTTCTTACATCATTCCCAGCCCTAGATCCTTTAAAAAGTGGTTAGTGTGAAGTCTGAAAAACCTTAGGGTCTGTCACTGCCCTTCTTATTATTCTACTCTAAGATCATTTGAGAACTGTCCCTGCCTGCTTCCATTCTAACCCACCTCTCTCCCGCCTCCCCCTCCACACACCTGTGCCCTCCACTACATTTCCCCGAAGTCCAAACTGTGCCCACTTCCTATGCGCAGTATCCCAGGCTTGCAACCTGCCAAGGCTGGCTCTTTTCAGCATCCCAGGACTTCTCTGACCAGGGTAAGCGTCTCTCTGCCCCACCACTTTTGACAACCTCTGGACTGGAGGTCCAACCAAGGCAGAGACTGAAGTAGCTCTAGCTCACCGCCGGGCCCTCCGTGCACAGCGCTTTGATATCAAGGGAAGTTAGAAACGTGTGTTCAATGCACGCAACTTTGGAACGCCAATGACCACAAGCACTCTACTCCCCAGTCTAAAGCGACCCAGACACAGCACGGAGAGCTGGGCCCACGTTCATCGCGGCGGGATAAACGACTGACTCCCTGGGCGGGCTGCACTTCACCCGGTGCGCGGGCAGGCCTCCGGGCCGCCTCCGGGCCGCCTCCGGGCCGCGGGACTCGGGCCCCGGACGCAGCGCTGCCTATCTACGCTGGAGTTCAGCCTGCGGTGAACTTCCCCATGGACGACAGAACCGAGCTCAGGTCCCACGCCGCCCGGGACTCACCAGAGGCTACACCGCGCCGACCACGAGCGACACTCCGCGGACAGGCCACACGCCGACCGGAAGCCCGCGCGCTCCCGGCTTCCGGCCAGGCGGGCGCACTGCACGTCGGGAGCGCTGAGAGGCGGGGCCTCGGGAGCCCCGGCCCGGCGCCGTCTGCGCTGGCGTAGCTCGGGGTTGGGGGCGTGGCTGGCCCCAGGTACACGCGTGGGACCTGGAGCGTCGGGCGTTCCCGCGACTGCAGGCCGGCGCCACGACCTGGTCTCGAGTGTAAACCCGCCCAGGTCACCTTGCCTGTCCGGAAGCGAGCGGAGAGCCTCCCTTCACCTCCCGTCGTCACCTGATACTCTCTCCTTAGCTCTCATCATCCTGGCTCCTGTTCTTCCAGAGACTGAGTTAAGATGTTTAATTTTCCTGCCCAAGCTGATGGACGCTTTACACATGTGCAACGTATCTGTACACTAGTTTGATCTCAGGCAGTCACCCAAACTAGAAAACAGTTCTTTCCCATCCCAAAGGAGAGTTTCAGGAGTAAAAAGATCAACCACCATTTGCCTGACATATTAACAAATAACTGCGCTAAGAGTAGGGTAAGTGTCAGGTCATGAACACCATTTATTTTACGTGCCTCTGATGCTACAAGCTTCAGAACACTACAGGTCTTCAACACTTGTAAATGATATGGGTGAATGTCTTTAGAATCTGGATTTCCTTGCCCCTAAAAGGAAGATAACACAACCTCTCTGCCCTAAGTCGGTGGTTAAGAGCTCAAAAACATAGTAGCTCCTTTTCTACAGTATAGTTTCAAACACGTAACTACCCAAGATTATTTGCAGTGTTTTCTAGAGATTTACAATATAGACCAAAAGTCAAGAAAGTGTCCTTAATGACAGCCTAGTAAAATCTTGTGCAGTTGCTAGGTTTGTAAGACACTTTTGTACCTTTTGTTTAAATCTGTGTCCTTTATGAAACCATGCACCCAGATGGTGGCTCACTGTAATCCCAGCACAAGTTCAAGGCATGCTTTGGGCTACACAAAGAGATCCTGTCTGAGAAAGAATGTAAGGGAGAGGAAGGAGGGAGAAAGGGAGCCATACATAGTATGGAAACGACTGAATTCCATACATAGTATGGAAACGACTGAATTCCATACATAGTATGGAAACGACTGAATTCCATACATAGTATGGAAACGACTGAATTCCATACATAGTATGGAAACAACTGAATTCAGAAGACAGAACTTTTTTTTCCCCTTAAACAAAAGCTGAAAACTTTACAATGTGTCATATAAAAAGGAAAAATGCCAGGGAAACATAGCTTCTTTAAATGGGAGATTAAGGATGTGTAGAACAAGTGAATTTCTACTTTACAAATTAACTATATACCTACCTAGTCTTTCAAGTTAGAATTTAGCTGACTGTCCCTGAAAATGAAATCTCCTTTCCAGATAGTCCAAAATGATTGCAGCTAGCTTAACATACCCAAAAGTCAAGGCTTTTGAATAGAAACTTGACAAGAGGAAGTAACTTAACCTTTATGCAAACATTATGGTGCTGAACATCTTGCCACAATTCAGTATTACATGTACTTTAAAAAGCTGAATGAGGGGCTGGGAAGGTGGCTCAGTGGTAGAGCACTTGCCTTGCTTGCATGAGGCCCTGGGTTCGATTCCTCAGCACCACATAAGCAAAAAGAAAAAAAGCCAGAAGTGGCGCTGTGGCTCAAGTGGTAGAGCGCTAGCCTTGAGCTGAAGAGCCCCAGAGTTCAGACCCCACGACCAGACCCCCCCCCCAAAAAAAAAAAAAAAACGCTGAATGAAAGAGTTGGGAATGTGGCTCAGTGGTGGAGCATTTGCCTCGCATGCATGAGGCCCTGGGTTCAATTCCTCAGCACCACATACACAGAAAAAGCTGGAAGTGGTGCTGTGACTCAAGTGGTTGAGTGCTACCCTTGAGTGAAAAGCAGTTCAGGGACAGTGCCCAGGGCCTGAGTTCAAGCCTTAAGACTGGCCAAGAAAAAAAAAAAAGCAGAATTACAGACTGCATTATTAAGTTACTTACATTCCTCATCAGTTTGTATAAAAGTTGGTCTAACAGAAGTCAAATGGCCTTAGTATTAATTTTTAAATTCTAACACATGCCCTCATTTAAACATTCAAATATAATAGACAATTTCCTGAATATACAAAGATGAGGGGCCCAAACAACTTTGTTTGGATAGAGGAATAACACTTAAAGGTCAAAATAGGCATTGTTATAACTTCTTATGGAGCTGGAAGGCTGCTATGGAACCAGATGGATAGTGCTGAATACCTGACAGGAAAACAGATAACCCATCTCAAAAGCAGATTATGCTACTGGCACCAGTGTGTGAAGCCACGGAATCCTCCATTTTCATGACTTAATCAGAAACAGACAGATTTCTGAAATTCAGATGGTGACCCCACATTGCCAGTTCCTTAGACACAGGAGACTTCTGGACTAAGCTCTATGAAGATAAAAGGTAAAAGCAAAAGGAATGTAAATGCCTAGTTGTTCAAAAAAAGGCTGTAATGGGTTGATGACACTACTAATCCCCAGAACTGTATCAAATGGATTGGAGACTGGTCTGATGATATGCAATAATGCGTCTTAGCAGGCTCTCAGAACCTACTCTTTTCTCATTTTCCTTCTACTTCCATTTTCTTCTATTCCTCTGTCTTTTGCATAAAATTAGTTGTTGTTACTCTACTTCCTGTTAGTTCCACTTGCTTAGTATTTCTTGAGTCCATATTTTCATCTTTAGTTGATATAAAACAATGAACTTGAACGTGCCCTTACACCTGCCTACTTAGTTTTAAGTGGCACAGAAATAACTATGGCTAATTTAGGTATGAAAAAAATTACAGGTAGAGCGCTAGCCTTGAGCTGAAGAGCTGAGGGACAGCGCCCAGGTCCAGAGTTCAGGCCCGATGACCGGACCTAAAAAAAAAAAAAAAAAAATTACAAGCAAATTGGGCATGGTGGTAGTACATGCCTATAATCCTAGCACTTGGTGAGTTGGAAGAAGGAATAAGTTTGAGGTCAACCTAGGCTTACTTTATAGTGAGACTCAGTTTCAAAAATAAATTTTAGCAGAATTCTGATATCTCTTACAAGAGTTTCTAAGTAAAAACTTTACAAATGTGATGTTATGAAGAAGAGTAAATTTAAGGCACACAAAAATACAGAATGCCAATAAAGACCATGAACGTTTTAAACAACATTTAATTATATTTCAACTTTTATTACATAATGATAGTCTCTGTATACTGCTCTCAGTTACTTCTTATTAACTGCTTCCAAAAACCGTAAGAGGTGCAGGAACAGATTGATAACATCCAAATAGAGGCTGATGGCAGCTAATACATACTCTTCAGGTGACAGTTTATGCATCAGGGAGTGTGTATCATAGATGATGAAACCGCAAAAAAGAAGGGCTCCCACTGCAGAAAGGACCAGCTCCACTGTCGCACTATAAAAAAATATCTATAGACAAGTGGTTAAATATGTAAATTGGTTCTTGAGACCACCATTAATTAATAATCACACTTCCACTGCTGATCTAATAATACTGAATAGATATCAACTAAATTATCCACTTGATTTTAAATATTATCATTCTAATTATAAATTGCTTTAAAATGTATTTCTCAGGGCTGGGAAGGTGGCTCAGTGGTAGAGCGCATGCCTTGCATGCCTGAGGCCCTGGGTTCGATTCCTCAGCACCACATAAGCAAAAAGAAAAAAGCCGGAAGTGGCATTGTGGCTCAAGTGGTAGAGCACTAGCCTTGAGCTGAAGAGCTGAGGGACAGCACCCAGGCCCAGAGTTCAGGCCCCATGACCGGACCCCCCCCAAAAACTAAAATATATTTCTCAGAACCAAATGGGCCATTTGGAAGTTCACAGATACAGCAAAAACCAGGGTGTTTTTGTTGTTGCTGTTGTTCTGGGGGGAGGTTTTTTTTATTGGGGGGATGAGTAGGGTACTTTGTGCCAGTTCTTGGGCTTGAACTCTGATCCATGAACTCATGACTGATGCTCTACCACTTAAGCACTTCTGGCTTTTTTTTTTTTTTTGTCGGTCATGGAGCTTGAACTCTGGGCCTGGGCACTGTCCCTCAGCTCTTTAGCTCAAGGTGAGCGCTCTACCACTTGAGCTACAGCACCACTTCTGGTGGTTTATTGGAGATAAGAGTCTCACAGACTTTCCTGCCCAGGATGGCTTTGAACCGTGATCCTCAGATCTCAGCCTCCTGCGTAGCTAGAATTACAGGTGTGAGCCACCGGCACCCAGTACTTCTGGCTTTTTGCTGGTGAACTGGTAATAAGACTTGTGGCTAGCTGTGATTTTTGTGACTAGATTCTCAGATTTCAGCCATTTACTATAGGCATGAGCAACTGGTATCTAATCCCGCACGTACTTTTTCCTATGTAATATAACTCACTCACAGTCATTCATCTTTCTTTCAATAAGTAATAATGATCAATTCAAGACCTTGATTTTCTTTTTAGAGATTACTGTATAATCATTCCACATACAAATGTTACAGTGTCTTCTGAGAGTAATTTCAACTCTTTGAAGTTATTCACATTGACATGGCCAGAATTATATTTCAACTATACTAAACAACTTACCTTCAAGAATACTGACAAGCATAAAATCCATAAAACAGCAAACAGCCTACAAAAATAAAATTTTTAATAATTTACAAGATTATACCTTACTAAAAAGTCTATAATCCTATTCATTTTTTAAAGAAATAATTCCAACTCAGATGTTTGCCAAAGAATAATTCAAGTATAAGAATTCATAACACAGGGTGACATTATCCAAAAAGAAATGTACTCATTTCCTGACTTATATAACTATAACCTCTCTGTTTATGACCTTTATAATAACACTAAAAAATTTTAAAAAAGAAACAAAAACAAGAATTCATAACACAATGAATACTTAAAATACCCATTTTGTTTCTCTTTTAAAGAAACTGAACTAATTGCTATTCAACTTTCTTATGGCAATCAGTAGAGAGTATTAGTTTTAAGTAAGTTTTCAACTAGCATGCAAAGAAAATATTGATATAACAAATCATTACAAAATGTTTAAATCCTGAGACCTGTGAAAATGATAGGAAGCCAAATCTTAATGGCTCATGGTTATAACTCTAGACATTCATGAGGTTGAGTCCTGAGGATCTCCATTTGAAGCCAAGTGGTAGGCACCAGCCATGAACAAGAAAATTAAGTGAGAGCCTGAGGCCCTAAGTTCAAGCCCCAGTATCAAAATCAAATACACACACATACACACACACACAAACTAGAACTTTGATGAAATGCATTTTTAAGCCAAATAACAAGAGCAAGTGTACTTTCTAATTTTATTCTTATGTATTAAGAATTTTATCCAACAAATCTACCACTACTCTAATTTTTTGAGTTACCATTCAATTGTTAGATAAAGTCTAATTATATGACAAAATACATCTAAGAGCTCAATTTTTTATCAAATATGGGACTTAGCAGCTGCTTCAGGCCACAGGGAATTATGAAAGCTAAACTTACCCTCCCTTCTTAAATAAAACCAGGCAAAATATAAGAAGCAACAGCTTTCAGATGTTGAACAAGACAGTGATTCCAGACATAAAGGAAACAAAGATCTACCCAGCTGTAGAATTTCCAGACTATATTGTAGGACAGGAATCCACACAGGGACCATGCCCTCCTTGAGTTATTAAGAAGACAAAAATTCAGAGGTCAGAGAGAATAAGGTGACTAGAATTTTTATGGCAATATATCAGACATGAGAGAGACAGAGAGAAAGAGCTCTGATGATATGTGTTAAGGCTCCCTAGAATCTTTAAGTTCAGTCCTGATCAATGAATGCAAGTTAAAATGTTATCAAAGCTGGGGAGACCACAGAAATGGAGGGACAAAGGGTGAACAAATGCAGCAGTCAAACTCCCTAAACATTATATTGAAAATAAACTATATAATTTGTGGGTGAGGATGGGAGGGAAACACTGGGAGAGAGTGAGGGTAAGGGGTGACATTGTCCAAAATGTACTCATTACCTGACTTATGTAACCATAACTCATAAGTTATGTCTGCACATCATCTTTATAATGACAATCCAATAATAAAGCTGGGAAAAGATTACAATACAGAAGTCGGTAGAATAATCCTCAGAATTCACTCAGACTCCAGACAGAGTGGAAAGACCTCCAAAAATACAGGGCACTGAAGAGTTCTCACAAGGGTACTAAACTCAGTAATGGGCCAAATTAGCTCTAAGCTAAAAAGCTGTTTTGGACCCACCAAATGGAGCTTCAAAAGGTTCAAAGAAATTCCAAAGAATTTAACCAAAAATTTTAATGTTATACAAAAGAAAAAGTAACTCAAAGCTTAAAACTTGACTGAACTCTGTAGATGAAAACTATAACAAAAAAAGTAAAAAATAATCCTGTGGTTGATATGTAGTAGATTAGACTAAAGAAAAGATCTGAGTTTAACAATCACAATAGAAACTAAACAAATTGAGTCTCTCTCTCTCTCTCTCTCTCACACATACACACACACACACACACACACACAGACATCTAGTATATATGCAAATATAGTTCTGAGTAATAGATCTAAGTTATTTTTATTTTAAATATTTAAATAAGCCAAAATATTTCCATATTTGTTAAGAACTTTAAATCAACAGATCTAAGAAGAAAGTTCAAAAAATATCAAGGAATATGACACTCAAATTACTATAAGCCAGAAATAAAGAACAAATATTCAATATTAAATGTGAAATTTTTTTAAGAGATACATACGAGGATTTCTTGTCAGAAACTACAGAAGGTATAAATGAGGTATCATTAAACTACTGACAAGAGTTGTTTTGTTTTTTTTTTAATCTTCAAGCAAGAAAATACAGAAAAGCCTTGAATTCTACACCTAGACAATAGCTTTCAAAAATAAAAGCACACAAGAACTGACAGGTATTTGTATGTTTTTCTAGCACTATAAGAATTTTAAAAGGAAGACCCTTAGTTGAATGCTCGACAAGAAATGTATTCATTACCTTACTGATGTAGCTGTAACCTTTCTATACAGCATCTTTACAAGAAAATAAAATTAAAAAAAAGAATTCTAAAAGGAAGACCCTTAGTTGAATATTACATAAAAACTTTACAAAAAGAAACAAACAACAAAATGGTGTATGTTGGGAGACAAAAGTTATCTTTGAAAGAGGTTTAAAAATTCTGCCAATTTGTTTAAAATGAAAAATAAAACCTGTTTCCATTTCCTGGAATTCATTTTGATAAATATTATTTTATCTTATTATTTTTTTATTGTGAAAATACTGTACAGAGGGGTTACAATTACATGGGCAAGGTAATGAGTACATTTCTTATCAAGCATTGTTGCCTCCTCCTTTGTTTCCCCTTCCCATCCCTTCCCATCTCCGGCCACCCCCAGCGATAAATATTATTTTAACTGTTCAAAGGCACATGGACATTGCAATTTTGGGTTCCTCCCCTAAGAGTATCCTCCCTTAGTCTCACTGTGTGTGAGTGCCTACAGTCATGTATCATGCTCTGCCAATTTTTAAATCTCTTTCAAAGATAACTTAAACTAGAGCAAATTTAAAAGTAGTACGGAGTTGATAACATGCATAACTAAAAGTTACAGCAACAATAACAAAAAAGTAGAGAAAATATTCTGTATATGAAATGAACTATTATTTGATAATAGGATGGTAATTTAAAGTTATATACTATAAAAGCTACTTAAAAGAACTACAGATAGTAAGCCATAAAGGAAATAAAACCCAACCATATAAATACTCCTATTAAATATAAATGGAGTAAACACATAATGTAAATACAGACATCAAAATTGGATTTTAAAAAATTCCAACCACATGCTACCTATAAGAATATTATTCTAGAAATAAATTAAACAAGCTCTAGGAAATGGGGAGGAAAAGAATATTATTCTGAACAGGAAGAAATAAACTAAAATTAAAAGGATGCGCCAGATGCTGGTGGCTCATGCCTTTAATCCTAGCTACTCAAGAAGTTGAGACATGAGGATCATGGTTCAAGGCCAGCCCTGGAAGGAAAAGTCCATAAGACTCTTCTCTCCAATTAACCACCAGAAAAACAGAAGTAGCACTATGGCTCAAATGGTAGAGCGCTGGCCTTGAGGTAAAAAGTTTAGGGACAGCACCCAGCACCACAATTCAAGCCACATGATTGGCCAAAAAAAAAAGAAGTATGCAATGATATACCATACTTACACAATCAGAAGAAGATAAGGGTGGCTGTTTTAACAGTGCAGATTTTAGGATGAAGATATTATCACAGACAAAGTAGGCTAGTTCATAAAGCAAAAAATATTTTATTCCCCAAGAGGATTTACAATTCTTACATCTAAAAAGAGCTTCCAATAATGATATAAAACTAACATTTAGAGGAAATAGATCAATGTATACTGAGTTAGAAATTTCAACACCCCTGAATTAGAGGCAGAAAATTACTAAGTACACAAAAGCCTTGAACAACACTACCAACTAACCTGTCCTACCTGAAATTAATCAAATACTCCAATAGCAAAATGTACATTCTTTTCTAGTACACAAAGTACATTTACCAAGATATCATAAAAAAAATTTCAATAAGTGCTAAAGAACTGATATCATTCAAAACATGTTCTCTAAAAATAACATAAGTAAATAAAATACCGCTATAAAGCTGGGCACTGGTGGCTTATGCCTGTAATCCTAGCTACTCAGGAGGCTGAGATCTGAGGATTGAGGTTCAAAAGCCAGCCCAGGCAGACAAATCCAAGAAACACTTACTCAAATTAACTACCAAAACACTATAAGTGGAGGAATGGCTCAAGTGGTGGAGCATAAGCTTTGAGGGAAAAAGCCAAGCAATAGTGCAAGATTGAATTCAAATCCTAGTACCAGTACACATAATACCAGATATATGTATTATTATATATGTACACAATATATCTATATCTATCTATATCTATATATAGATATAGATATATAAAACCATGCTTGATAAAAATCCCTGGCCATCACTTGTTTCACTCAAATACACTGTTTCTCAAGATACACCTGGTAGAGCTAAACTAGAAAGTGTCATGCCACCTTAAGCCTTAAGAGACTTAAGGCTTTTTCACTAGCAAGCCCTAAGGAAGTTCCAGTGGAAAAGGTGATGTTAAGAACTATATAGTAGCCGGGTACCAGTGGCTCACACCTGTAATCCTAGCTACTCAGGAGACTGAGATCTGAGGATTGTAGTTCAATGCCAGCCCAGGCAGGAAAGAGTCCGTGAGATTCTTATCTCCAATAAACCACTAGAAAACTGGAAGTGGAGCTGGGGCTCAAGCAGCAGAGTGCTAAGCCTTGAGCTGAAGAGCACAAGGACAGCACTCAAGCCCAGATTTCAAGCCCCACGACCGACAAAAAAAAAAAAAAACTATAAAGTACTAGACGTTGGTGGCTCATGCTGTAATTCTAGCTACTTGGGAGGCTAAGATCTGAGGATCAAAATTTGAAGTTGGCTCTGAGCTTTAAAGTCCAAGAGACTATTATCTGCAGTTACACAGACACAGACACAGACACAGACACACACACACACAAAGCATCAGAGATTTTACCCTATTTGCATGCTGAAATGTTAACCTGGTATAGTCTCACAGATGTTAGGATAAGACATGAGATTCCCAGGTCTGAGATAAGGAGCATTTTGTTTCAGCATATCAGTAGCTAGAGAATCAGCATTTTCACACCAGAAACACCCAGTTCACACAAGGTGAGGCTAAGAGGGCTAGATGATACCTACTCACACAGTGAATTATGCTAAAGAACCACCTTCAATGTAGAAAGCAGTATCTTTTTTATAATGGCAAGTTAGTGTGTTTCCTCATTGCTTCCAAGGCTGTTTATTATAAAAACAACCTTGAAAAGATCATCTAAAAAACAAGTCACAAGACATTCTGAAGACATGCAGCAACACAAAATAAGATATTAAGGAGAAATTGTTCCCAAAAGATGTGAAGATGGCTCCTGAAGGTTTTGCTAAGACATTAAAATAAAGCCACCAAAGATGTCTCTCTAGATATTTATTTTTACTATGGCTGCACATGAAAGGTTCTACATTTGAACAGTGTTAAACACTACAGACAATAATGAGAACATACATCTTTTCTCCACTGCAATGAAATTGGAATCTGGCAAGCTTAGTCCTGGGGACTGAGGTATACACATAATAAATGGTAATTTAGGTTCACAGATTCTCCTTGGTGAGGCTCTGGTAACTTGAGTCTGTTTTTATTTAATGTCAACATTCTCTCTCAATACAGTATTAGTCAAGTAAAGATTTGAAGGTCATGTCCTGCAAATATGCTTCCTAAACTGTTAATTCACAAGTTGGATACTTTGACTTATAGTTCATTAAATATTTGAATAACAAAGAGCAAACGTTCTGAGAACATAGATAACATTAAATATTAAATATCAAATATTAAGATTAAATATAAGATTATATTAAGATTAAATACAAGATGAAGTGCAGACTTTGCCATTTTGAAGCAAATTTTATCCTCTTGACAAGGAGCACAGATTAAGGGATAACCTACCTTCAAACTGTGATGTGTTAGGGAGAAAAAAACAAACCCTGATTTGTAACACCTCCAATCTTCTTACTCAGATTTTGTGTCCCATTTTGGTATTCAGCCTCTATGAGCATTTTGGCTTTGTGATTAGTGCCATTAAGTTTCATTTAAAACAATAAAATAAGCAATAAAATACTATTCTTAAGTATCTGAACCTATAGCATTCTAACATAAAAATCATTAGTAGTAGTATTTTTCCGTGAGTTATTATGTAGCAATATCCCATAGCTGACGGCAGTAAAAGCAATTCAATGGAGAACCAACTATATGCACAGAGCAGTCGTAAATTGTTGAAGGCTTTAAATAAGCCATGATCAAGTGGCCATTTGAAATGTATCACCTGGTTACTTTGTGGAAAACAGACTGGAAATTGATAAGATAGAAAGTCTTGTTATAATAATAAAGTTAAGACAATTTTGAAAGGCCTCTACTATCAGTTTTATAGCAGGCAAGCTTCCATCAGATATACCACCAAACACATATGAAACATCCATCCAAAAGAAGGAAAAAAAAAGAAAACAGAAAGGTCGGAGCCATGGCTCAGTTGGTAGAGTACTAGCAAATGAGCAAAAGTGTCAGGTATGGCATTCCAGTCCCAATCTCAGACCAAAAAGAAGAAAGAAAGGAGAGGAAGAGGAAGGAGGTGGAGGGGAAGAGGAAGGAGGAGAGGGAGAAGGAAGAGGTGGAGAGGGAGAAAGAATAGAAGGAAAAGAAGGAAAAGGTGAGGAGGGGGGAAGGAGAAAGAGAAGGGGGAGGGGGAGGAGGGAGAAGAAGAAAAAAAAGACTACCTCCATCCACCCCTCCACCTAAGGTAAACTCTGTTCTAGGGGGAATTTTCTTTTTTTAAGAAACATCTAGGCAGCTTGCACAACTGTATTTTTCCCAAAGAGATTCCTGGTAATCTAGACTATGGGGAAACAAAAGGAAGGAAAGAATGTTTCATAAGAGTAGACTTTAGTAAATATTTAGTGTTGCAACAGGAATAAAAACAGGAGAAAATGGGTGAGTGACCATGTGCCAACAATAGGCTATGCATTCAGATGAGGGTAACACAGTAATGTAAAAAGGATCATCTATTTGTTTAGTTTAATGTAAAAAGGATCATCTATTCATATATGTATTTAAAAAAGGATACAGGCTATTCTAGATGGATCAAAAAAGTTTTAAAGTCCTTGCAGATGTTTCCAGTATCTAGGCTAATTATCCTGCCTTTGCCACAAAGATGTAGGTGGCCTTGGTAACATCTGTGCTAAGACAAATGACCAAAATGATTTCAGTGAAGTGCACACGTAGGCTTACAAACCCAGCCTCCAAAGACAGCTGATTTGGTCATGGGGGAGGTGATTTACTTCCCTTTCACTACAGAAAAGAAGAAAATGTCAAAAAGCCACTTTCCAACATCTTGTGTGTTCTGAACAAGTGGGGCCTGGCTCTAGAACTCAAAAGAGATAATAATGTCCCACGGACTTCCATTCTAAGACATTCAAAGTATATAGTATAGTATTTCTCTCTTAAAACTACCTATAATACAGGATACAAAATAAACCCACAAAAATCAGTTGCCTTCCTATACACTGATAACGCACAGGAAGAGAGGGAAATAAAGGGAGCAACCCCATTCACAATAACCTCCCAAAAAATAAAATATTTAGGAATTAACCTAACCAAAGATGTAAAAGAACTATTTAATGAGAACTATAAAAAGTTAAAGAAAGAAATTGCAGAAGACACTAGGAAATGGAAAGACCTCCCATGCTCCTGGATAGGCCGACTTAATATAGTAAAGATGGTGATACTTCCAAAATTAATATACAAATTCAATGCAATTCCTATTAAAATCCCAATGACGTACATCACTGAAATACAGAAAACAGTCCAAAAATTTATATGGAACAACAAAAGACCTAGAATAGCCAAAACAATTCTAGGGGATAAAGACAATATGGGAGGGCTATCCATGCCGAACTTCAAACTCTACTACAGAGCTATAATCACAAAGACAGCATGGTACTGGCACAAAAACAGACCCGAAGACCAATGGAACAGAATAGAAGATCCAGATATAAATCCACAGGCCTACAGCCAGCTGATATTCGACAAAGGAGCCAAAGACATACAATGGAAGAAACACAGCCTCTTCAACCGCTGGTGCTGGGAAAACTGGGCAGCCACATGCAGAAAACTAAAAGTGGACCCCAGCCTATCACCATGCACCAACATCAACTCAAAATGGATTAAAGACCTTAACATTAAACCTGAATCTCTGAAACTACTGCAGGACAGAGTAGGAGAGACACTTGAACTAATAGGCACAGGAAGGAACTTCCTGAACAGAGTCCCAGGGTCACAACAAGTTGGAGAGAGACTCGACAAATGGGACTACCTTAAAATAAAAAGCTTCTGCACAGCTAAATCTATCGCAACTAAGCTAGAAAGACAACCAACTAATTGGGAAAAAATATTTACCTGCAATATATCAGACAAGGGGTTAACATCCTGTATATACAGGGAACTCAAGAAACTAATCCCTCCCAAACCTAACAAACCAATTACTAAATGGGCAAGGGAACTAAAGAGGGACTTCTCAAATGAAGAAATAAAAATGGCAAAGAAACACATGAGGAAATGTTCATCATCCCTGGTGGTGAAGGAAATGCAAATAAAGACAACCCTGAGATACCACCTTACCCCAGTCAGAATGTCCCACATCCACAAATCAGCCAACGACAAATGCTGGAGGGGATGTGGAGAAAGAGGAACCCTATTACACTGCTGGTGGGAATGTACACTTATACAACCACTTTGGAAAGCAGTCTGGAGGGTCCTTAGAAAGCTAAAGATTGACCTCCCTTACGACCCAGTCATACCACTTCTAGGCATCTACCCTGAACAACAGGAACCAATATACAAGGACACGTGCACCTCCATGTTTATCGCAGCACTGTTCGCAATAGCTAGGATATGGAAACAACCTAGGTGCCCCACCACAGATGAATGGATCCAAAAATTGTGGTATCTATACACAATGGAATATTATGCAGCCATTAGAAATGACAAAATAATGGCATTTGCAGGGAAATGGATGGAGCTAGAAGGAATCATGTTGAGCGAGGTAAGCCAAGAACGAAGAGACAAACGGTACATGGTCTCCCTCATAAGTGGATGCTAAATCCAAAAGGTTAGTGATACGACAAAACTAACAGGACTTAAGAAACAAAGAACTCCCGCTCATCTGGTTGAACCACTACTAAATACCCTCATGCTGCTGATCACAAATATGGTATATAACATGTGAACACTGTTATATATTACAGACTGTGGTAGACAATTTGCTCCAGGGAAGTTAGAATGAACTTGTGACTTTGAAATTATGTAATCATTTAATCACAATCAAAAAAAAAAAAAAAAAAAAAAAAAGAACCTCGGGGAAGGGAGGGAGGGAGGGGATGGTAGGGGGAAAACAATGGAGGGGGTAACAATGTTCAAGAGGAAGTGTACTCATAACCTCACTCATGTAACTGTGACCCTCTGTATAGTAGCTTTACAATAAAAAAAAAAAAAAAAAAAAAAAAAAAACTACCTATAATATTAAAGACATCTATTATACCCAAGAGTATATTAACTTACCCTGCTCCAAATTTGCTGAAATCTCTCTTAGATTGTAGAGTATATACAGTCAAACCAAGAAATACTGCAGTAGTCAGTATAAAAGCTTGTAGAACAATATATACATCATAGAAAGTAACTGTAGAATGAAAACATTGATTTAAAATGTATACAAACATACTTGATATAAAATAGCATTTTCTGGCATAATAGAAATGTTTTATTTTTGTCTATACAGTTTACCAATAAAACAATTAAGATTTCTTACCTACCTTTGACTATAATGGTACAGTAAAACCATACTTATGTGATAAGCAGGCTATAAAACATTCACACAAAATGTTAGTGACTAGAGATGGCTACATGTAATGAGTTAAAGAGTTTTACAGAGATGGTAGAGTGATTCTCACCCATCTGTTCCAGCTACAGTTTTTCACCATCTTTGGTGATTATACACTATCGCTAAATATTGATTCAGATGACTCTAGGCCATCCGGCTAGCTAGGAGTTCTTGGAAGGCAATTCTAGCCATTTGCACCCAATTCACCAGCCCAATTCAAGTCAATTGAACAAGAGAAATATTGAGGCACTCTGGGTTGGCCTACCACATTACAAACCCTACAGAGGACAAAAATGAACTATTAATTGTATTATATCTAAATCTGTGTTATATTAGAGGACAGTACTGTGGAGTTTATTGAATATGTACCAAGTTCTCCCAAATTCCCTTCTGAAATTTTAGAATAATAATTTTAGATAATAGCTATTGTAATACAACTGCTTAATACTGTAACAGAATGCTAAATTATAGCCTCCTTAGAAACGGTTAAGTGCTTTGAACCTAAAACCACTTAAATAATTTAAAATCCTCTAAGAGTTAAACATTTACAATATTTCTTTTCCTAAATTACTGAAATTTGTAATAGGATTGGGAAGGTAAACATACACAAAAAGGTCAATTTTGCTTCTTGTCAGTAATTTCAATTCAATCAGATGGCTAAGATATTACATCAGTGGGGAAAATAATATTCTCAAATTATCTCGTCTGTTTTCTACCTCCAGTTCAAATAGGCCTGTGTTATACTCCTTATACATGATGGGTTTGGAGTGGGGAGAGATGGACTGGTATCATTAATAATAAATAACATTAGCAGATAACACTAAGAAGTTAATTTACTTCCTCCTTGCTATGATGAGAAGCTTTAATTCTACTTCATCGAGTATTTTTTAGTACTTATTTGTATTCTGATCCTTTGAAACGAAAAAGAGTGAGGAATCACCAAGAAAACACAGATTCAAAGTTTAAAAATAGTAATGAAAAATGGGAACAGATAAATACATTAACCTTCAGGATTTACATTTGCTGTTATTGAGAGGAGGAGTTAATGCTGACCTTTTTGGTATCCAAGGTTAACTGAAGATAATCAGAATTGTTACTGCTAACTTATTGAAACTTTTTAGTCAAGCCTTACACAGTGTACATCAAGTAATTATAACAGAGAGTTGGCTTTGAAACATGTGTTTAACATGAAGTACAGAAATGGATATTACTGCTGTTGTTTGGGTTTAATGATATACAAAGATGCAGCAATCAAGCGCAGTTTTACAGGGGCAATTCTTAGGGAGCTTAGCCATGTGATGAAAGTACATACCTTAAAACACATGTTCTCAGTTCCCCCAAGTCTCTTTAAGTTAGAGAAAAGATTGGCTCCAGTTGTCTTATTTTTATACATGGGAAAACACTGCTCTACATTCATTTTGTTTTCTTTAAACTTTTCCACATAGTTCAGCTGAACTATGTAAAGCATAAATATTTGGCTTTTACTTATCTCTTAGGCAATCTTTATTGTATGCCATATTTTTGAAATACAACATTCTGTGATGTTAAACTTTAACCCCAAATACCTTTGTTATCTGAAAGATTTACCCACATTAAAGTTACAACATAGAGAAACACAATGACGACTTACCAACAATGGCCACAGTCAGAGCTTCCAACAGTGTCTAAGAAAAAGAAACTGAATTAATGCATGTAAAATGCGTACTGACTTGTATACATTTTCTAATTTCTACTAGTTTAGTGTGATCATAATAGGAATAATGTCCTTTTAGTCCAAGGAACCTTGTAGACAAGACAGTTACTAAGTCAAACAGGAACAACAACAAAAATCTGTCTGTAGTAAAAATATTTAAATTCTGTGGATTCAGCAACTCTTTAAGCTCTAATCAGATTTTTCATATCTTTATCAGGAAGACTACATAGTAGAATTAATATAGAAAATTCTTTTTTCTCACTTTATGTAATATAAATTTAAAAGATATTGTAAATTATGCATATATTTATTTTAAAAATCCTCAACATCTCATACAAATAAGATTTAACACTGTTCCCTGTGTTCATTACCTCTTTCTCCCCTTGCATCAGTTTTTACCTGGAAATAGGGATCCTCAGATTCAACATTACATTTTCAGTATCCCTTGCAGTTAATTCTGGCCACGTCACTATGTTCTAACTAGGCTAACCTAAGTAGAGAAATGTTTAGACCCTACTGGATTGCGCTCTAAAAGCCCAAAGCTCACACTCACTCGCTCCCCCTTCCCCTCTTCCCCTCTTCCCTTCTCCCCCTCTTCGCCCCTCCCCCACCTCTCTCTCTCTCTCTCTCTCTCTCTCTCTCTCTCTCTCTCTCTCTCTCTCTCTCCCTCCCTCCCCCCCCCCTCTCTCTCTCTCTCTCCCTCTCTCTGTCTCTCTCTCTCTTTTTATTTGCCAGTCCTGGGGCTTGAACTCAGGGCTTAGGCATTGTCCCTGAGTCTTTCTGTATTCAAGGCTAGCACTCTACCACTTGAGCCATAGCACAACTTCCAGCTTTTTCTGTTTATTTGGTGCTGAAGAATGGAACCCTGGCCTTCATGCATGCTAGGCAAGCACTCTACCACTAAGCCACATTCCCAGACCTCTTTCTTTCTTTCTCCTTTCCTTTTGTTGTGTCCTTAACTGAATACTATGTGAGGATATGGTAATGAGGTATTCTACTATAGCATGCAAGCTTTAGGAATGCCAGAGCCACAGTTAACCCTTGCTAATTTCTCTAGTCATTCAGGTTTTTATATGAAAGAAAAAAAACTATCTTAAGATACCTCTTTTATCATTGCTTAAACCATGTAAAAAGTAAATGAATTCATATCCTAAATACAACATAAATAAAACTTTGCACAATAGCCTTTCTTTCCCTTAATTACATTTTCCTTACTTCATCTTCTGTGCCTAATGCAGTCACATCTTCCCCATCTGATAGTCTGTATCAAAGATAAGCCAGAAGTGTCAGCAGTATCTGTATAGTTATATACTTGTAGAAGCATTTCCTGTTCTCCCTCCTGCCTGACCTCAATGTTAGGTTTTTAAAAAGAGGTAGCCGAGTAAGAACAGCAGCACGCACGTGGTATTCAGGTAAGGGGTAGGTTTATTCAGTAGACCTGCTGGGACCAGGCAAGGTTGGCACTCCACGTGGCTGGGAAAGGCCTGGGAATGAGAGAGCTGGGAAAGCGAGGAAAGAGAGAAAAAAGAGCTAGAAATTAGCTAGAAAAGAGCAGCAAGAGAGCAGAGAGAGCTAGAAAAGAGCAGCGAGAGAGCTACTAGGCCTGCAATAGGCCTTATCTAGGGTATGGGCGGAGAAAGGTGTGGCCACATCAAATTCAGATGTGACCTCAGCAGATGCAGATGTGACCTCAGCAGATGCAGATGTGACCTCTTCCAGGTGTCCCAGTTGCCTAGGTAACACAGGTACTGGGTGGAGACTTTGCTGGGAGGAGGGTGGAGTCTGCTAGCCATCCAGGAGCCGACCTTACACTCAACAACCATCAAGTGGAATGGTAAATTGGAGATTTCTCACTATTCTAGTGAGTACTCTTCCTGCTGGCCCAATGTTGGTCTATATGCTCTCCCTATAGAGAAACAGCTCCTTCTGAAAGAAGACAATAGATGGATTTGAAGAAATAGTCTACATTACCCTATTTGTGAGTGTGTGTGTGTATTTCTTTTCTATTACATAACTGACAGGGGTGAAGAACTGGAATCTGAGCCGAAGACTGGCAATCTGAACATTGCCTAACCATTCTTCTGTCATAGTTGTATTTGTATATACATTCAGTTAAATAACAACTTTGAAAACTCAAGTTAACAAAGAAATAAGCATTGTCAGAGTACTCACAAATCCAAATAGCAGGTAGAGGTTAAGGGGATGCTTATGTCTGTTTAAAGTCAATGCGAAAATCAAACCCAAAGATCCAAGAGCAAACACCAGAATTAAGGCAGGACTGAAAAACATAACGTTAAAAACATTTCAACTTCTAAAATAACGAGAAATGTTATCCAATTTAATAAAACCTATTTTATATGTTCGTAAAACTATTTTAAAAAATCTGGCCGGGCATTGGTGGCTCACCGCTATAATCATAGCTACTCAGGAGGCTGAGATCTGAAGATCACGGTTCAAAGCCAGCCTGGGCAGGAAAGTCCATGAGACTCTTATCTCCAATAAACCACCAGAAGACTGGAAGTGGCGCTGTGGCTCTATTGGTAGAGCGCTCGCCTTGAGCTAAAGAGCTTAGGGACAGCGCCCAGGCCCAGAGTTCAAGCCCCATGACTGACAAAAAAAAAGTCTGGAATGATCTACCCCAAACTATCAAGAAGTCATTTTCATTTATATCTGGAAACATTGAGGAGTTATGAGCAGAACAAAGGAAAGAACCCATAGGAGTAGGACAAGAATTCCTCTTTTTTTTCATGATCATATTTGAGTAATGCTTATAGTTAGCACATTACTTTTATGATTAAAATACAATAAAGAAAAGATATTTAAAAACTTTTGTGCCAGTCCTGGGGCTTGAACTCAAGGCCTGGGCACTGTCCCTTAGCTTTTTCACTCAAGGCTGACAGTCTACAGCACTCTACCACTTGAGCCTTAGACCATGTCTGGTTTTTGGTGGTTAATTGGACGTAAGAGTCTCATGGGCTTTTTTCCCCAGGCTGTATTTGAACCATATCCTTAGTTCTCAGCTTCCTGAGCAGTAAGGGTGACAGGAGTGAGCCACCAGCACCTGGCTTTTAATAAACAGATGTTACACATAGCTACTCTTTCAGGGTACTTACCACATGGCCATAATTTAAATTATTTTATCTCAAATGTCAAACTAGTTTAAGACTCTTGTTTGGTAGGGGGAAGAGAAGCAAATTCTTTATTTCTAAGAAAACATTCCTTATTTGTTTTGTCTTTCCTTTAATATAAAGAAATCATGTTTTTAGCTATAGAAATAGTAACTTTGTAAGTAAAATATTTAATAATGGATGGGTCAAGTAGAGCCTTTCTGAAATTTCTCAGTGAACTCCTCATCACAAAACAATGAAGACACATTTATATTCAATAATTTTTTAAAGCAATGTCTTAGGTTTCAGGGACAGAATAGTCTGATAAAAATTAAAATTAATAAAAATTAAAAAGTAGGACTTAACTGAATGCAGTAAAAACTCTTATTTCTATTGTAGGAGATGAAGGTTGAACCTTAAGAAACTATAAAAAGGTAAAACATCAGATTATAGAACATTTTCCTTCATTAAGAACTAATGTGGTTTATATGAGTTACATGATGAACTTTTTGACACTTTAACCCCAAAAGTTAATTTTAAAAAAAATCTTTGTTTATATAAGCGATTTAGATAAGATGAAATGTCCACAATGACTCAGAGTCTTCTTGTCACCTTACCTCCCATGGACAAATGTCCGTATGGACTCAAAGGATAAGAACACTGCAGACATCACTGTAGTTAAGAGAACTTGCAGAGACAGGATGCTGTAGACTTTTCGGAGAAAGGCTGAAAGAGAAACATAGTACGTATGACTGTTTTCTTCAGGATCACAGAACTGCTAGACCAAATTTCTCTTAGAAAAACTTTATTTTTCTGGGAAAGGATGACATTGTCCAAAAAGAAATGTACTCTTTACTTGGCTTACCAAATAGTAGCCCCTCTGTACATTACCTTTAAAATAACAATTTTTTTAAATACTTAAAAAATTGTTTTTATATTCATTTTTCTTAAATCTTAATATAAAGAATATAACACTGAAAAAATTCAAGAATTATGAGAGAAAGCCAATCTTCCAAAATACATGGGCTTAAAATAAATTAATAGGCCCAATAATAAAGGCTTTCATCAAAATACAAAGAAAGTATCCTATCTGTGAACAACATACAATAAAGCAAAGGATTAAAAACACACCATTTATGCACCTAGGACATGAAAATTAGAAACAGAAAGTATATATTAGATCAGGCACAGTGGGTCATGCCTGAAGTCTAACATTCTTGGAAGGTAGCGATAGGAGCCCTGTCAAAAAGGGTCAGACCTTAACTCAAAGAACAGACCGAGTATGGTGGTGCATGCTGGCAAACCTAGTTATGAGGGAGACATAGGTAAGAGAATCATAGTCCAAGGAATGGCCCAGGGAAAAGCACAAAACCCTATTTGAAAAATAAAGCAAAATGGAATGTAGGTGTGGCTCAAGTGGTAGAATGCTTGCTCAACAAGTACAAGGCCCTGAGTTTAAACCCCAGTACCTATAGTTAGCCATAACTTTTTTAAGATCTTAATATCTGCAGCAACAAAAATGTTTCCCCAAAATGAAACTTATCTTCAAAAGGCAGTTAAAAAATAATATATATATATATATATATATATATATATGCCTTAGCCCATCAATTTTATTTCTTATTTATAATAATTCTATATCTAGTTTCTATACAATTTTGGGGGTTTTGTTTTGTTTTGTTTTTTGGCAGTCATGGGGCCTGAACTCTGGGCCTGGGCACTGTCCCTCAGCTCTTCAGCTCAAGGCTATTGCTCTACCACTTGAGCCACAGTACCACTTCTGGTTTTCTGAGTGGTTTATTGGAGATAAGAGTCTCTAGGCCTTCCCTGCCTGGCTGGCTTTGAACCGCGATCCTCAGATCTCAGCCTCCTGAATAGCCAGGATTACGCCCGGCACAACAAGAATTCTTGCTTTATAAATATTTTATTAGCCAGGTGCCAGTGGCTCCTGACTGTAATGTTAGCTACTTAGAAGGCTGATATCTAAGGATCAGTTTGAAGCCAGCCAGGGCAAAAAAAGTCCCTGTGAGACTCTTATTTCCAATAAACCACTCAAAAACTGGACGTGGTACTGTGGCTCAAGTGGTAAAGCACTAACCTGGAGGACAAAGAGGTTCAGGGAAAGCAGATTATAAACCAAAACCCAGGCAAACAAAACTAAGAGACTCTTATTTCCAATTAACCACCAAAAAGCCAGAACTGGGGGCATGGCTCAATTGGCAGAGTGCCAGTCATGAGTGAAAAGATGAGCAAAAGTATATTGCCCTTAAGTCAAACTCTAGCACCAACACAAAAAAACTGAGAAATACTCATTTAAAATGTTCTGATAGATACATGACATAAATAATATAGTACACTAGCACAATTCCAGTGCTCTCTCTTTGGACACATACTCTTTTGTACATATTCTCTTCCCCTACAGTCCTAGCTAACTTATAACCAATCAGCTCTCAAAATTCAGCCTTTCACAGTTCATAGTATGAATTACATGTTTTTCCTTCATGTTCCCAAGAGATCCTAACATACACTTGGGCACTGCATAATTAATAAGTCTACTTGTCTTTCTCCCCATTAGACAATAAAGACTAAATACCTCAGAGTCTTTAACTCTCATTTCCTGCATGGAAAATAGGAAACGTTTGTGTTTTTCTATTTCTCCCTACTGTAACCCTGCTATACTAAAATAAATCCTTGCTAAAATAATTCCCATTGTTTTCTAACAATGGGAAGCCAGTCCTATTCATGTTCAGTAAATTTATATTGAATTAGTGAAGGGAAGATTTTACAACTCAAAGATGAAAAAGAAATAGAAATAACAGAGCCATCACTTTTTAGAACATGTTTAGGCAGGCAATGTAAATCATGTTGAATGACTAAAAAGTCACTGAGAGCTAGAAAAAATACATTAAAGCTACTTTTCATGATACATTTACAGGTTTCTTTTAAAACACTGCTATGGTAAAAAAAAAAAAAATAGATGGAGAAAAGATGAACAAATGCAATCACACGATTTAGTATACACTATGTGGAAAATGTTCTATATAACGTACGGGAAGGGATGGGAAACTGGGGTAAGGCAGACGAAGGGGTGACATTGTCCAAAAAAATATACTCACACCTTAATAATAACAATAAAATTATATATTTTTAAAAGTAAAAAATATGTTTGCTAGTTCATGTCTGTAATCCCAACACACAGGAAGGTGAAGCGGGACAACAGGAAGCTCAGGCCCTCCTCTGGAAAGGGTTTGAAGAGTCCTCAAACCAGCACAGAACCACCTTATAATCCAGGCAATACCACTCTTAATGAGCTTACCCAAAGATTACATGCCAGGATACAGTAATGCCACGAGCACAACCAAGTGTTTACAAAGAAGCTTACTCAAGATGTTCCTCAGTAGATGAATGGATAAACTATGGAACATACTAACAAAAGAACATTCTTCAATAGTGAAAGGAAATGAGCTATCCATGAAAACACATTGAAGAAATCTTAAATGTATGTTACAGTAGGAAGTGAAACACACCAATCTGAAAAACAAAATACTGGTGGTCCCAACTATATGGTATTGTGGAAAAGGCAAAAGTATGGAGACAATAAAAAGGATCAGGGTTCACCACGGCACAGCTGTTTAAGAAGTGGAAACTATGGAGGGGAAGGGGGAAAACAAGTCGTTTAAATAAGGATACAGGTGGACCTGTTGCAACAATGAGAAGTACAAGTCGTGGAAAACGAACTTTACAACTTTGGTGCGGGGGCGGGTAGGGAGGATTGGGTGGTGGGGGGCGGGGGGAGGATGGGAAGGGATGGGAAGGGGAAACAAAGGAGGAGGCTACAATGCTTGATAAGAAATGTACTCCTTATCTTGCCCATGTAATTGTAACCCCTCTGTACAGTATTTTCACAATAAAAAATAAATAAAAATTAAAAAAAAAGAAGTGGAAACTACTCAGTGTGATACAACAATGGTAGATAGATGTTAATACACATTTATTAGAACCCATAAAACACGTAATACCAAGGGTGAGCCCTAATGCAAACTATGGACTTTGGATCATAATAATATGTCAGTCTAGGTTCACTGACTATAATAAATATGCTCCTCTGGAACAGGACATTGATAAAGAGACTTCGTAGAAGGTAAGGATTATATGATAAATTTTCTCTACTTTCTCAATTTTTCCAGGACCCTAAAATTGCTTTTAAGAATAAAGCCCATATTTAAAGTTAGGAAAAGGACTTGAACAACATTTTTCTAAACAACATATACAAATGTCCCATGAAATATATTTTTTAAATGTTCAACATCACTAGTCCTTAGGGAAATACAAATCAATACCAAAATGATGTGTTATTTCACCATCATTTGGATGTCTACTTTCATTTCAACAGAGAGAAAAAAAGAAATATTGGCAAGGAAGAACCTCTGTATGCTGTTGATGTTCTCATGTAAATGGTGCAACTACTAAGAAAAACAGAATGGCAGATCCTTAAAGAGCTACAATAAGAGTTACCACACAAAACGCAGCAGCTTCAATTTTGAGTACACACATAAAAGAATTAAAGCAGGTTCTTAAAAGAGATATGTGCATACCTGTATTCATAGTGTTACAATTGCCAAAAGGTAAATGTAGTGGAAATGTGCAAGATTAGATGAACAGATAAACAAAATTTGGTATATACGTGCAATGTAATATCAGTCTTAAAAAGGAAGGAAATTAGGCAGGTGTCAATGGTTCATGCCCCTAATCCTAGTTACTCAGGAGGCTGAGATGTGAAGATCAAGGTTTAATGCCAGCTCCAGCAGGAAAGTCTGAGAGACTCCTATCACCAATAATCTATCACCAAAAAAGCCAGAAGTAGAGCTGTGGCTCAAGTGGAAGAGGGCTAGCTTTGAGCCAAAGAAGCTCAAGGACAGTGCCCAAATCCTGAGTTCAACACTCAGAACTGGCACAAAAAAGAAAAGGGAAAGGGAAAGGGGCTGGGAAGGGATGATTCCATACACAGTACAATGCAGATGCACTAAAGAGACATTATGCCAATTGAAATAAGCCAATTATTAAAAAAAAAAACAAAAAACAAAACAGTGGGAGATTCCTTTTTTTTGTCGGTCATGGGGCTTGAACTCTGGGCCTGGGCGCTGTCCCTCAGCTCTTCAGCTCAAGGCGAGCGCTCTACCACTTGAGCTACAGCGCCACTTCCGGCTTTCTAGTGGTTTATTGGAGATAGGAGTCTCACGGTCTTTCCTGCCCGGGCTGGCTTTGAACCGCGATTCTCAGATCTCAGCCTCCTGAGTAGCTAGGATTACAGGCGTGAGCCACCGGCACCTGGCGAGATTCCTTTTATATGAAGTATTTAGAGCAGTCAATTTCAGACAGACAAAGTAGAATATAGTTGCTAGGACAGAGGTGAGAAGTCATTGTTTAATAGCACACTTTCATTTTTGCAAGATGAAAAAGTTCTGGAAACTGAGTGCACAACAATGTAAAAATACTTAGCATGGGGCTGGGAAGGTGGCTCAGTGGTAGAGCACTTGCCTTGTATGCTCAAGACCCTGGGTTCGATTCCTCAGCACCACAGAAGAAAAAAAACCGGAAGTGGTGCTGTGGCTCAAGTGGTAGAGCAGGTCTTGAGCTGAAGAGCTGAGGGACAGCGCCCAGGCCCAGAGTTCAGGCCCCACGATCGGACCGAAAAATAAAAAAATACTTAGCATGACTGAACTGTACTTAGAACTGGTGAGAATGTAAAGTCTTTATGTTACATGTATTGTGCCACAATTAAAAAAAAATATTTTGGCAGCTGAACTCACGTGTCACAACAACTTCAGAATTCAGGAATTTAGCTCCTGGTACCAAGATTCTTAATACATCATAACTATCCTCATAATTCCTTTCGGGAACCAGTTCCAGCAGATTTACAGGCAGGCTGTAAATCTGGGTCAACTTCTGTGACCAAAATGCTGAACCAGGGCAAAGAGTGAATTCTGTTTACCTGACACCAATTTTAATATAGAAAATCATGTCTGCCTACTGGGTAATGTAAAACTTTAAACTAACAGTACATTTTTTGTTGTTGTTGTTTTAACTGATTTGGGCAGCATTGATCTCACTAATACCCCAACCTCTGTTGGATTAGAATTAGTATGTCTGCCCTGAAAGGGGCGGGGGGGGGGGGGGGGGGGGTGGAGACCAAGACAGGTAAGGTCGCTGCCCTGACAGAAATAAAAGTCCAGTGCACAAGAGACAAAGAAATAAACATTTACAACGGGTTTTCACTCCCTCACAGTGAGCCGAGGAAGGAAACAACCCTGCTGGGGACAAATGTCACAAAGGACAATTATCACACAGTAAAGTTATTGGCATCCAAAAAAGAATTTTTTTTTTTAAAGGAAGCTTTCCTTTGATTTACAAATGTCAGATCAGGCTGGGCGATGGCGGTTTACACCTCTCATCCTCACCACCCGGGGGGCTGAGGTCGGAGGGCCCAGATTCAAGACCAGCCCGGGCAAGAACCACCAAAAAGCTGGAAGTGACGCTGTGGCTCGAGCGGTAGAGCGCCCGCCTTGAGTAGAAAATCAGTTCAAGATCCAGGACTAGCACAGGAAAATGAATCCATCAATACACGGGGGAAGTAAGCAAATGTACAAGTAACAAAACGCCAGGGTCGGGCCGCTCGAGCTCCGCGCCGCGGGCCGCAGCGGGGCCCCGCGGACTGCAGCTCCCGAGCCCCGGGAGACGAGGCCTCGGAGGCCGCCACACAGCGAGGAGCCCGGGCGACCGGAGCTCCGGGCGGCCGGAGCCCCGGCGCCACCGCGCCACCTACCCATGCGGATGTGCACGCTGGCAGACGCCACGCAGCTGCCATAGTTGAAGTCATCCTCGATGGACGAGCAGGGATAGCGGGGGTCAGGGTCGGCCATGTCGCCAGCAGAACCCCCCAGCCAAGCCTCGGGGACTAAACTGACCACAACGGCCTGAGCCCCACTTCCGGGATAGAACCTTCCCAGACGGAGCGAGCCGAGCTGCCTGGGTGGGGCGAGCCCCGAGCGAATCGATTGGCTGGCCTTAAACATTCCCAGGGGAAGGCGCAGACACAGCCGCCGCCCCAAAGAAGAGCTGGAGCTGGAGCGGGGTGACAGCTCACACCCCACCTCCTCGGAAAGAGATTGTCCTCGAAACGGTCGTCTTTGCTGGAAAGCAGACAAAACATATCCATCCCACCCACCCACTTCTTCAATAATCACTCCAGGGATGCTCTTCAGCCCTATGAGTTTAAGCAACTATTATCCCTGCAATACAGAATGAGCCCCTCCTAGGAGGTCTTGAGAACCGTCAGCTTCACCGCCAGCTAAGATTAATGACCAAGGAGAAGATAGGCAACGCCGGTTCCTTTTTTTATTCACTAAATCCTAATACAAAGTAAAGGTGGAGAAATCATTATAATGTACGCATACCGAGAAGCAAAACGAAAATGGTTCTTCCTCTTATTCCCCTTTCTTCCAGTCCTTGAGAGAATGAAATACACACGTTCAAGCTCTGAGATAAAACTTGTCTCGTTTACATGACTCCACAGGGGAGCTAAATACTCCTTTATATTTACAAACATATTGTAGTTGTAATATTGCAAAGTGTAAAACTAGTGGCAAAGTTTGTGCTAAGAAGTTTTACATTTACATATATATTTATATAAACAAATCATATGCATATAAATTACATATACATAAATTCTAAATTATATTATATTCTTTTATAACCTTATCTGTTATATAAATTTTAAATTAAATATATCAATTTATATATTATTAAACAATATATTTGAATATATTATATATTTATATATACTAAATTATAAGCTTTGCTTACTCTATGACATTCAGTAGCAAGTTAAAAAACATGACAAGTGAAGACTTTGCAAAAGAAAAGAAAAAGGAAGAAAAACATGGCTCAAGTGGTGGAGCCTGACAAGTAAAAGGACTCAAATGGTTTTCTTCCTTGCGATTGTTTCTAACATATTTTTAAGATGATTTCTTTGTTGCTTTGTATGTCCCTCCCCCATGGTATATCCCCTGTTTTCACTGTATTTGATGTTGGTATAATTTGGGGAGGGGAAGGGAAAAAATAAATTGTTAAAATAGGGATTCAGGTGGACCCATTGCAACAATGAGGTCTACAAGAACTTAAATCCAAAAATGAACTTTACAACTTTGGCACAGTGTGGGGAGGGGTGAAGGGAGGGGTGAATGGGGGAGATGGGAAGGGAGGTAAGGGGAAACAAAGGAGGAGGCAATAATGCTTGATAAGAAATGTACTCATTACCTTGCTCATATAATTGTAATCCCTCTGTACGATATTTTCACAATAAAAAAAATACCAGAATTACTAAAAAGGAAAAGAAAAGCACACTATATGATAATACTCTGTGTGTATGTGTGTGTGTGTGTGTGTGTGTGTGTGTGTGTGCTAGTCCTGGGCTTGAACTGAGGCCTAAGTGCTCTCCCTGAGCTTCTTTTTGCTCAAGTCTGGTGCTCTACCACTTGAGACACAACTTCACTTCTGGCTTTTGGGTAGTTTGTTGGAAATTACAGTCTCATCAACTTTCCTGCCCAGGTTAGCTTTGAACTATCAATCCTCAGATCTCAGCCTCCTGCGAAGCTAGGATTATAGGCATGAGCCACCAGTGCCTGACATATGTTAGTAGCTTTTTTTCTTGCATTTTATTTAATTATTTTTGTTGGTTGTGGGGTTTGAACTCTGGGCCTGGGCTCTGTCCCTGAGCTCTTTAATTCAAGGTGAGCACTCTACCACAGCACCACTTCCTTTTTCTTGCATTTTAAAACAAGAGTTATTCTTACTTACCCTGGGCCCCATGAATAACCTAACTTGCCCTGGTAGTATAAAATGGAGCAATCTCTCTGGAAAACTGTTTCACAGCATCTACCAAAGTAAAATATACACTACAAGTTCTGTAACTGGGCATGTCCACTCCTAGGTAAAATATATACCCTACAGAAATACATGTATATATGCTTACAGAAGTTACATTCAATAGTACATATAGTAGCATTACTTACCAAAGCTAGAAAAAAACCAGGCCACTAAGAAAACAATGGACAAATAAACTGTGGTGTGTTCATATACTTGTATGCTTTATACAGTGAATAAAAACAAATAACTATTGAACCTAGCATGGAAAACTCACAAGCCATGCTGAACAAAAGAAAGAAAATTTAAATAATATATTCCATGCAATACAATGGTAAAATTGAAATCAAATACAAATTAATCTAATATTTTAGATATGAGGAAGTTATTCTTCTCTGGGGAGGAGATACAAATAATAACAGAGGAAATAGTACAGACTTTTAGAGTTGGGTGTGGTGGCACACATCTGTCATCTCCCTAGGCAGAAAACATAAATAAGATTGCAGTAAAGGTTAATATAGGTATATAGGGAAATCTTATCTGAAAAGCAGAGTAAAAAGGACTGGGGGTGTAGCTCCAATCAGTAAATCACCTGCCAGGCAAACACAGGGTCCTGAATTCAAACTCAGAACTATTTTTTAAAATGAGATTCTGGTAATGTTTTGTTTCCTGAGTGCATGTATTCACTTTGTGACAATTTTACAAAATGTTTATATTTAGAGTTTGTGTGCTATTTTGTGTTTTAAGCCTAAATTAAAAATGTTTTAATTAAGAAAATATTCTGCTTCCCCTTGATTTAGATAAGTTACCTTGAGATTTAACTTCAAATCCAATAACTTCAAGTCCTACTGTCCTTCTATTTCTTTTTAAACTGCAATCTCAAGAAAAGTAGTGTGTAAATAAAAATAATTAATCTAAAGTAAATTTGAGGGGTTAGGGATTTAGTTCAGTGGAAGGGTACTTGCCTAGCAAGTGCAAGGTCTGGAGTTCAGTCCTCAGCACCAGAAAATAAAATTAAACAAAAAATAAAATGTGAAATAATAAAGTAAAATTAATAAAATAAAATTTTAGTGTTTTTTTTCCTAATACCTAATCCTATAGGATTGTGAAGAGAAGCCCTGACAAAAGGCTTGTTTAGGTTTTCAAACATAAATATGCTAAATCTTTTCATATACAAAATTGCTATTGCCTTCATTATCAAAGAACCAAATTAATTAAAGCTTTTAATTTTCTTTCATAATTTCAGAATAATGAACCAGTCATGGTGGTCATGCCTATAGTCCTAGTTACTTCAAAGGTTGAGTTTGTGAGGATTATCATTTTTGAGACCATCCCAGGCAAAATCAATCCAATTAAATCTCAACCAATTAAAAGCTGTGTGTAGTATATGCATGTTTTTTTTGCTATACATGAAGCATAAGTTAGGAAGATAGAAACCCAGGCTAGCAAAGGCATAAATGTGTGACCCTATTTAAGAACTAGCTGGATGCTGGTATCTCCCTTCTGTAATCCTTCTGAGAGGCTGAGATTATACTTCAAGGATTTTAGCTCAAGGGCAGAAAAGTTTTGGGAAACTGTCTCAATGGTAGCACATGACTTGTCATCTCACTAAGGATGAGAAAACTAATGTAGGCTGAAGGCTCTGGAGTGCACCCAGATGGTAAGCAAGACTCTGTCTCAAAAATAACCAATGAGGGGCTGGGAAGGTGGCTCAGTGGTAGAGTCCTTTGCCTTGCATGCATGAGGCCCTGGGTTTGATTCCTCAGCACCACATAAGCAGGAAAAGCTGGAAGTGGTGCTGTGGCTCAAGTGGTAGAGCACTAGCCTTGAGCTGAAGAGCTGAGGGACAGTGCCTAGGCTCAGAGTTCAGGCCACATGACTGGAAAAAAAAAAGGGAAAAAAAGGCTGGATGTATGGTTCAAGTGGTATAGTACCAGCCTGGCAAGCATGGAACCCTGAATTCAGACCATGTACCACACACAGAAGGGAGGGAGGGAGGGACGGAGGGGGAGAGAGAGAGAGAGAGAGAGAGAGAGAGAGAGAGAGAGAGAGAGAGAGAGAGAGGAGAAAAAAGAGAAAAGAGAGAGAGAAAGAAAAGAAAGATTTCAGAATTTCAGAAACATAGAATAAACTCAATACAAGAGAAAATGAGGAACTACAGCATTATGAAGAACTATAGGACATGAATAAGTAATTACCAACCCCTGTTAGGGTGTATGTTTGGAAACTTAATGGTATAACAGAATTTCCTAAACTTGCAGGCAGAAGCTTTGTTGTAGACTGAATGTTTATTCTCTTGTGCTGTCCATAGTTAGATGTTGCCCAGCCCATATTTACATGTTGGAGCTCTAGTCCTTAGCACAGTGTCATTGGCTGTATTTAGAAATGGAGCCTCTAAGGAAGTAATCCAGGTTAAATGGGGGCCTTCCTTTCTAGCTGTCACCTCTGCCACACATTCCCACTACAGTGTACTGCCTTGTCATGGGCCAAAAGCATTGGGGACAAGCAACTATGAGCTGAACCCACTTAAGTCATGAGCCAAAATACATCTTCCTTTTAAATTGATTATGTCAGATCATCTGTCACAGGGACAGAATGACATACTTACTGATAGGGGAGTCCTAGTTCATCTCTATTTTTATGTGAGCCTCCCTTGTTCTAGAAATTCAAAACCCACCCAATACTGTCCTTAAATGTATTTTCTTTCCTGTGGTACTCAGCATAGTCAAATGGCTCCTTAAAAACATAGGGAATGTATGGAAACAGCCTAGATGCTCTACAATAGATGAATGAGTAAAAAAATACGGTACCTATACCCAATGGATTTTTACACAGCTATGAGAAAGAATATTATGTCATTTACAGGAAAATGGATGGACCTAGAACAAATCATGTTAAGTGAAGTAAGCCACACTCAGAAAGACAAATAACACGTTTTCTCTCATCTGTGGAAGCTAGACCTAAAATGCACTGGAATGTGAGATATTATACAGGACTCTAAACATGAACACACAGTGAAACCAAGGGAAGATACTCTTGGAGGGAAAGGAGGAAAACACAAAGGGCCAATAACTATGTGCCCCTGATCATATGAAATAGTATTTATTGAAATGAACTCCAGACCATGGAAAAAAGACATAGAGAACTGTGTATGAATATAGTTTTACAGCAAAAGCTCAATCATCTGAATGAAGAACTATCAAAACTTTTGCCCAAACAGTATAAGCTTTACCAATTTTCAGTTAAGTTTTAATGGAATTCAACCTCTGGAATTTCAGGTTTGTATGCTAAATGCACACATACCACTATGGTTGAGCTCTAGGGGAGCTAATCCCAAACACAAAGACCTGAAATGTTTCAACTGATGCATTTTTTCAGGTGATACCTCATGTCTATACTTCCAGGATGTAGACTGCCATTTTTGTCACCATTTCTGAAGTATCTCTATCTTTTTTTTTTTGCCATGCTTATGGTGGTATAGTACAGTATATTATAATGGAATATTTCAAATCAACAGTCCATTTTTCTTAAACCCCATGTTAAAAGCAACAAGAAGATTCTGCAAAGCACTTTGAGGAAGGAAAATGTGGTGGAAGTTTCATCAGGGAAGCACAAGGTGGAAGTTTCACCAGGGTAGGGCAAGGAGAAGCGAGTGTGGTGAAATTGAGTCGCTCTGGGAGGAGGAACTACTCTCAGAAGGAAGGAAACACAATTTTCCTGATTTGATCCTTTCCTGTCGTTGGTGTCTACATCCATATTTACCAGCAGACACCCCATGTAGGCACATTTTAAACCAGTTAAATTCCAGAAGTGTTGGGACAAACCTGTGCCAAAAGGTTGGGAGTGGTTGAGTGAGAAGGGAGTGGTTGGGTGAGAGAAGAATGAATAGTTATTTTCTTCTTTATTTTTTTCCTGTGTTTCTGTGTTACTCAGTGAACCTGTCTCTTTTTTTAAGTTTTTTTTTAAAATTGTTTTTATAAAGGTGATGTACGGAAAGGTTACAGTTCCATAAGTCACATAAAGAGTACATTTCTTTTTGGGCAATGTCATCCCTTCCCTCACTCTCACAGATTTCCCCTCCCACCTTCATCCACAAGTTCTGTAGTTCATTTTCAACGTAGTGTCCAGCCAGTACCATGACTGCATTCGTTTACCCTTCGAATCTCCATTCCTGTGCCTCCCCTTGCATCTCTTTCTTGACAAAATAAAATGACATCCATTTTTTCTTTCTTTCTTGCCTGTATGGGGCTTAAACACAGGGCCCTGGATGGTGTTCCTCAGACAGTTTTTTGCTCAAGGTTGGCACGCCACCACTTGAGCCACAATCCCATCTCGGGCATTGTGGTGGTTAATTGGAGATGAGAGTCTCCGGACCTTTCCTGCCCAGGCTAGCTACAAACCAAGCGTGATTTTCAAATCTCAACCCTCTGAGTAGTTAGGTGCTTTGAGTCACCCAAGACTTCATGAAATCAATGATGATCTCATATTCAAAGCAGCCCAGAAGACAGCTCACCCCGGGGCAGGCAGAGGTGATGGCAGGCGCGCCAAGATCGCTGTCCAGGCCTTTTTCATTCTTTGGCTGCCCTCTTCAGTCACGTCCTCAGCTCAAGGGGCCTGCAGGGGAGCTTCCAGGGGAGCTTCCAGCCAAGGAGGAAGGCAGAGCCAGGCCAGAGGTCCCTGGGCACAACTCCGGGGGAGCGGCGGCCTGCGTCACGAGAGGACCGCCCCTTCCAAGGCTCGGGGCGCGGCGCTCTCTGAGGTCTTGGCAGTGGTGGTGGCTGGAGGATTTCCGCGGTTGTGTAACGCCGTCCCGCGCGCGCGGCCCTGGTACTGGAGGAGCCTGGGCTCAGCATCCTGCATCCCAGGGGGTGCCTGGCCATGGCCGGGCGCGGCGGGACCCGCGGTGCGCCCGCGCTGTCGGCGCACACGCTCCTCTTCGACCTGCCGCCGGTGCTGCTGAGCCAGCTGTGCGGGGTCCTGGACAGCTGCGACGGCGAGCTGGGCTGGCGCGGCCTGGGTGAGTGAGCGCCTCCCGGACTCCGCGGTTCCTCCCGACCCGGTCCCTGCTTGAGCAGTTTCGGGGGATCGCTGCAGGGGCAAAGGATCAGAGGCTGGGGAAAGGCAGATCCCCCGCGCCTAAGCTGGGATGTTTGTAAACTTTCCCGCAGCAGTGCTTGGCAAAATGAGAAGAAGAACGCGTGCAGGAGAATGTCTACTTGTTATCGCCAGAGCGCCGCAGAGTACAATTTCTATACGAAAACTTGTGAGATGTTTATCCTCTGATGTTTCCAATGCACCCCTCCCCGCCCCCGCCCCACTCCAATTAATTACATACAAGGGAAGTGCTAACGTGAATTACATTTCCTAGTGGACATGGCTCTTGGTTTTCTTTATTAATTCTTGTTTATTTAGCAAACTTAATGGAAAGACAAATGTAATCTAAAGGACAGCTCTTATTTGAACCTAGAAATTGCTTTCAAAACTCCATTTGAACTAAGCAGACACTGGAAAGTTGAGTAACTACCTGTTAGAGTGTTGAATGTAATCATTACACACTACACAGTTTTGTTTTTTGTATTTTGTTTTTTGAAATGTGTGAGTGCCAGTTCTGGTTCTTGAATTCAGGGTCGAGGTGCCACCCCTGAGCTTTTCTTTTCTTTTTTGTTGTTGTTCAAGGCTGGTACTCTACCATTTGAGCCACACTTCCCTTTAGGCTTTTTGATGTTTAATCAGAGATAAGAGTCTCCGGAACTTTCCTGTCCAGGGTGGCTTCAAATCATGATGTCTCAGATCTCAGTGCCCTGAGGAGCTAGGATGACAGGCATGAGCCACTGGCTCCTAGTAGTTTAGATGTTTGTCTGAATTGTTTGGCTAGATTTGATACCCCATGTGGTCGCACCACATCTAATGTTAAAATAAGAATACATCAAAATAGTTTTTGTCAGAAACAGTGATTTTTTGCTGGGGGAAGGGGGAGGTGGCACACAACGTCAGTTGATCTATGAGGAGAAATTGTTCTTTGTTCTTTGACAAACAGTATGACCATGCTTTCTGGAACTGTAGCATGAACTTATAGTTACATGAAAGTTGTGTGTGTGTGTATATATATGCATATATATACTGTAAACACTTATTTTAAGATAATTTTACTGTACTTATTATTAAGGTGTCAGAGGGGTTACTGTTTCATAAGTCAAGTAATGAGTACTTTATTCTTTAGATAATGTCACCCTTTCCTTCACTTTCCCCCTTCTGTCCCTGCTCATTAAGTTGTATAGTTCATTTTCCACATAGTATTGACTGAACACCAAGACTCAGCACTATAATTTTAAAATTAGGGCTCTTCAGTAAAAACTTAAGAAAAAAAGTACTTCACTGATTTCTGGAAAACACAAGTTTCCAGTATGCATTTAAGAGATAAGATCCTCCCATTGCAGCAATGAGACATACAAGGCATATGTCAAAAACGAACTTTACAACTTTGGTGGGGGGGGGGGGGAGGAGGGTTGGGTGGGGGGAGGGGGGAGGAGGATGGGATGGGAAGGGGAAACAAAGGAGGAGGCTACAATGCTTGATAAGAAATGTACTCATTATCTTGCCCATGTAATTGTAACCCCTCTGTACAGTATTTTCACAATAAAAAAATTTTTTTAAAGAGATAAGATCCTTAAGGGCGAATGATGAAAAAAGTGATATCAATCAATATGCACTAGACTTATAAGCTGATTTGTTGAATGATAACTCCTATGTACAACTACTTAAAAATAATAAAAATATAATTTTAAAAAGACAATAAAAAGAGATAAGAGCCGGGCGCTGGTGGCTCACGCCTGTAATCCTAGCTACTCAGGAGGCTGAGATCTGAGGATCGCGGTTCAAAGCCAGCCCGGGCAGGAGAGACCGTGAGACTCCTATCTCCAATAAACCACCAGAAAAAAAACCGGAAGTGGCGCTGTGGCTCAAGTGGTAGAGCGCTCGCCTTGAGCTGAAGAGCTGAGGGACAGCGCCCAAGCCCAGAGTTCAAGCCCCACGACCGACAAAAAAAAAAAAAAAGAGATAAGATCCTCCCCTCTCCCGTCCTCCACTAGATTACTTCAAGCTAGATGATGAATGGAAACATTTATACCTACAGTTACTAATAGAGTTACTGAAGTTAATAATTTTACTCTGAAATTTCTAGCCCGTCTCACTCATTGGCTGTCCCCATCATCCATCTATTTGCCAACTTGATGGAGGTCTCCAATGTAACATTCCAGAAACATCTCTTTTCTCAAAGTTTTCCCAATCTCAGTCAGTGGCAACCCTACCTTTCAACTATTTTGGCCAAAATATTCATCTTTTGTGACTTTTCATTTTCTTCCCCAAACCACATCCAGTGTCTCAGCAATTGATGTTTAGTCTGTCTTTAGAATCTAACATCTAACTACTTCTTAACACTGTCCCCACAGCCACCTTCATCCAAACCACTGTCAGATCTTAAACTACTTTAATCCCCTAAATGGGAATCTTTAGTACTACCTTTTCCTTGATCAAGTCTTTTTCCAATTCACTGAGCCTGTTAAGCATGCAAAGTATATTGTGTTATTATTCTACTCAGAGTCCTCTGATAACCTCCCATGTTGCATAAAGTAAATAGTGAAGTCCTCCATAGCTTCTTTCACTTCCCTCCCTATATTTGCTTGACTCCAGCCACAGTACCATTCTTGTTACTTGAATAAGCAAGGGCATATTTTCCTGCAGGTAATCTTACTGCTCCTGTCTTCACTTGTTTCCTGTTTTTGCTTAACTATTACCTACCCTGACTGCTTTTAAAAAACTGATGCATCCTCCTCCCGTAGGCTCCTTTGCTTTTATCTATATTCCTTATTACCTCTCACATCCTTCATAATTCATATTTGTTTACTGGCCATAAGCTTTATGTGATAGTTTGTCTTGACTGTCTACCTGACTGGACTGAGAGATTAGTAAAGCACACACCTAGGTGTGACTATAAGGGTGATTCTATGTATGGTTAACTAAGCAGGAGAAGTCCTGCCCTAAATATAACTAACTAAGCAGGAGATAACATGACCTGAATATCCTATAGATGAGGTTTTACATGGAATAAAAAGGGGAGAGAAAACTTGCTAACACAGTCATTGTCTTTCTGCTTCCTGGCCCCCATGAGGTGAGCTACTCTGCTTGACTATGCCCTTGCTGTTGTGAAGGACTGAATCCTCTGAAACTGTGAGCTAAAATAAGTCTGTCCTCCCTTCAGTAATTTTAGCCAAGTATTTTGTCATAACACGTCATCAATCTGACTAGCGGACTTAGTGCAGACAGAGTTATTTTTTTGTGTTTTGTTTCATACAGATTCTCCTAACATCTAAAATTTTACCTGGCACAGAGCAAGCATTCATTAAATATCATGTTTTGAATGAACTAATGGATCAACAGATACCTGTTAAACATCCAAATCTCCAAGAAAGCACTGTGTTAAAGAAAATATCATAGTTCTTACTTGGACAGATTTTCCAATTTAGTGTAGAAAATAGATCTATGCAAATGGGAAGAATGTGTAGAAAAATAGTATTGATTATCTCTAGGTATGAAATTACATAGTGTCTGAGGTTGCAGATGAGTACTGGCATTGAGGGGAAGCTGTTCTAGAATTCTCTCCCTGAGATAGTATTAGGTACTTACTTGGCTTGGAATTGAAAAAGGAAGACAGATGTAAGAACATGGGAGAAATCATATGTTGCTGCCTTCCTTCCTTCCTCCCTTGTTAAACAATATGTATCACATGTGTGTATGCCATAAAAAGTACTAGGAGCAGGGCTAGGAATATGGCTTAATGGTAGAGTGCTTGATAGCATGTATGGAGCCCTGGGTTTTGATTCCTCAGTACGTAAGCAGAAAAAGCCAAAGTAGCTCTGTGGCTCAAGTGACTAGCCTTGAGCAGAAGCAGCTCAGGAACAGTGCCCAAGCCCTGAGTTCAAACCCCAGGGCTGGCAAAAAAAAGTACTAGGAGCTTAATTATGGAAGTGTTACTTCTTATAAAATGTATTTGCTAGTGGGTATTAATGCTTACAGTGGGGTTTGAGAAACAGAGCTAACATACCTTTGAGTTTTGTTTTACTTCTGTGGAGTTAAAAATATATTTGATCTTAAAGACTCATTTAAAATTTGAGTAATTTCTGCATGCGTGCTTTATATAGAGAAAAAAGAAATGCATCTTACCTTTTTTGTTGTGTTATCTAAAGACAAACTTTGCAAGAATGCTGTCTTCATTTCCTAGGGGTTTTAGCACATGGTTATATGCAAATACAAAGATTCCAAATAGAGGTGTGTTGCATTATTCTGAAAAACCCTTTCAGAGACAGATTTGCATATGGAGACATGATTTCTAATACTGAATTCCCCAGTGGTTAGCTTTACTTGTCTGACCTGCAGTCTCCAAACAGCCTCCAGGAACCTCAGATCATCCAGCAATATTTATTAAGCAATCATTATCTTTGGTGAACCGATTTCTTAATTTCTCAGGTCATCCTTTCTTCTATATCAAGATGCCTTTCAACAAAAGTTTTGCCTTGCAGAAATTGGCCTTTAACATTATTCAGCCACAGCTTATTTTTCTTTAATTTACCTTTTCAATTTAAGATATTCCTAACTTTAGCAATACAATTAGTGGGGGCTTGGTTCTTTATTTTTAATTGGACTTGTACTGTGCGTAAACGACGCTCTGTATTCTGAAAGAGAACAAACAAGGGTTGGAGAAAACGATGAGTATTGAATGCAATTAACATATCAACATTTACATTTGGGTTGCCTCAAATTGGAGTTTTAGCTTTATAGAATTCGGTCTAAATGAATTATATGTTTTCTGGACACTAATAATGCTCTTTAATGGTGTTACTATTCAGAATGTGTCATCCTTGGGGAAAAGCTATTAAGGTTGCTCCATGAATCATCAGTTAGACAAAGAGAAAATATATTTCATTTCTAGTCTCGGAAGCTGTGCATGCATGCAGGCAGAATTCATTTTCACTGAGTACTGACCATTTTTGCACTATGAGCTTAGGCTATTCAGAAACAAAAAAATGCCTTTATACCTAATCTAGTGTTCCTCAGGTTTTAATGCAAACTCATTCTCCTTTGACCCAGTCAGTGTTAGGAATTGAAGTCCCTAGCTCGTTTGACATCTGTTCATTCATGTTCTGGCTGGAACTCTTGAGGTGTGCTAGAGGGAGGGTATATTACAGTAGCAGTTTCTTTGCCAAGACAACAGGATTGGGAAGCACAGGAGCATGGCCTGCTATGTTTTTAAAAGGGAAATTGGAAAAAAAAAGAAAAAAGAAAGAAAAAGAAATATGACCAATGGGAATATGTGAGGAAATGACATCTTTTGGGAACTGGAAAGTTAACCCTGGATTTCCTTCATATTTCTAAACTCTTCCTTTCCCAGTGCGAGCTATTGTATTACTGATAAATTCTATTTGTAGCTTTTTCTGTGTGTCATACATAAAACTCTTACAGAGTCGCTGGGAATGTGGCTCAGTGGTAGAGTGCTTGCCTAGCATGCATGAAGCTCTGGGTTTGATTCCTCAGCACCACACAAACAGAAGAAGCAGGAAGTAGCACTGTGGCTCAAGTGATAGAGCTCTTGCCTTGAGCAAAAAGAAGCTCAGGGACGGTACCTAGGCCCTGAGTTCAAGCCCCAGGACTGACCAAAAAAAAAAGTGAAGCTGCCAATTTTGTATCACTTTATAGAAATCTGAGATTAGTCCCCTAAACCAGGACGTCTGTTCTTCCTTCAACAAATGTATATGGAATATTTATGTACTAAGCATGTCTCTGAAGATCTAAAGGTAAACATAGGGGGTTTGTACTCTTTGATACAACCTCTGCCCTTTTCTTTGCTCCTTCATGGATTCTGTTGTTGTTGTGATACTGGGGCTTGAACGCAGGACCTCAAACTCTCACTTTGTCTTTTCTGCTCAGTATTTACACTCTACCTCTTGAGCCACACTTCCTCTTCCTGTTTTTTTTTTTTTTACTGGTTACTTAAAGATAAGAGGCTCAGATTTGTCTGCCCTTCTGGCTTCAACCATGATCCTCAGATGTCAGCCTCCTGAGTAGCTAGGTATGAGCCACCAGCACCCAGCCCTTATAAACCATTTCCTCTATCTGATAGGCCTTCTCCTCTTGAGTCAGCCTACTGAACTTTGCATCAATCCATGTGTGTTGCAACGTCAATTGAAGTTTGGTCATCCTTCCTGTTCTTTCTCTGACCATCTAACCTACCAAAACATCTTCCTCTTCAACCTCTGTGAAATCATGCACCTGTGTCTTATTTCAAAGGCTCAAAGTATAAAGGAAATTGATTTATTTAGTTTAGAAAGGCAAAACCTATTGTGTTATGCAAATATTATCACTTTATATGGGGTATTATTCACAATGTTCTGCAAATATTAGCCAATTAATTTTCTCACGGAAGTGTAACTAAGTTTTCCCTTTCCTGAACGGGAATATATCTTCAGTATTTGGGGTTGTTTTTTGCAGTGTTTGTTTTTAGAAGCAGAAGTATTTTAAAAAATGGAGTGTGTGTGTGTGTGTGTGTGTGTGTGTGTGTGTGTGTGTGTGTGTGTGTAAAATCAAACTAAAGGTCTTGGGCAAGTTAAGTGAACACTCTGCCAGTGAGCTATAGCCCTAGACTGAAGGAATTTTCAAGTCAGGATTCATATAATTATTAGGCCAAGGAAGAATAACCAAGCTTATTATAGTTTTACATTTCAAGTTTTAAGTAGAACAGCTTCATGGACATTTGCTCATGAGATCGAGGCCATAAGTCGCCTTGTGTTGCACTGTACGCAGACCTACCACTAAACACTTCTCGGTTTTTTTCCTATATCCTCAAAGTAGCTTTTCCTATATAGTTATTAGTTATACACAGAAAGGTAAATTTTATATCAGAGCAGCCTTGCATGCACCTCTTCAACCAAGTAGCCCAGGTAAACATGGTGTTTAACTGGACATCCTTATTATAAACCCTGGGTATCAAACACTGAGATGGACACAGAATCATGGCATTGTCCTAAAAGATGAGGAAAAACTGAGGAATCATCACAGATTGGAGAAGACTTGAAAGAAGCCATGAATGCAATGAGGGAAACTCAAAAGGAATTGAGAATAGAAAAGCTTACTAGTGCATCAAGTAGTGGAATTAGACTAAAGTCTACAGTTTGGTTATTAATGACTGATTATTTTACTGAAGTTTTTAATGTGAGTATTCGTGGAGGGCAGATGATGAATATATACTAAGTTAATTCAAATTTAAAGTCACAAATAGCTGGGTGTTTGTGGCTCAGGTTTATGATTCTAGCTATTCAAGAGGCTAAGGTCTGAATATCATGGTTCGGGCAACCAGGAGCTGGTGCCTCATGCCTGTAATCCTAGCTACTCAAGAGGCTGAGATCTGAGGATAATGGTTCAAAGCCAGCCGGGCAATGAAGTCCCTGAGACTCTTATCTCCAATAAACCACTCAGAAAACCGAAGTGGCTCTGTGGCTCAAGTGGTAGAGCACTAGCCTTAAGCTGAAATGCTGAGGGACAGCAGCCAGGCCCAGAGTTCAAGCCCCAAGACCACCACCACCAACAACAAAAATCTCAGGCAGAAAAGTTCATGACACTCTTATATCCAATGAACCACCAAAAAAGCAGGAAGTGGAGGTATGGCTCAGTGATAAAGCACTAACCTTGAGCAAAAAACAAAATAAAATGAAGAGTGCTAAGCTCTGAGTTCAAGCCCCAATCCTAGCACAAGAAAAAAAAAGTCACATATAAAATATATATGGTAACAAAACCAAGTATTTCCATAAGAGTAAACAAACTGTCCTTTGATTCTTTCAATTGCAATTTCCACAGCGGAGCGACTTTCAGACAGCTGGTTAGATGTTCGTCATATTGAAAAATATGTAGACCAAGGTAAAAGTGGATCAAGAGAGTTACTGTGGTCCTGGGCACAAAAAAACAAGACGATCGGGGACCTTTTACAGATTCTCCAAGAGATGGGACATCATCGAGCTATTCATCTAATCACAAAGCACGGTAAATACATTATTATAATATACTTCCTAAGTAGTAATATAATATTTCATACTATGTGTCAGTGATTTCTGAACTTTGCTTTTATGTGCAGAGGTTCTTATAGTGTTACATTTGAGTGCATGTGATATTTTCTCCCTTTATTGCCTATTTTCTACAACATGTTTCTTTCTACCACTTTATAGTTTGGTATTTCAACTTTTGCTTACACAAGTATGAAATTTTTAAAGATTCCATTTTTTATCAGCAGATAGCAACAGTTTTCTTTAAAACCTCAGAAATACAGTATTTAGGTAAAATAAACATAATGCTCTATCCTTAATTTTACCATATGATTTGATGTTGGTAGTATAGTTGGATCTTCTCTTAGTTCAGGCATCATCTCCAGAATAAATTTGGGCTTTTTCTTTTATCTTTATTGCTGTTTTTATGCCACAGACTTGAACTCAGCCTTAGTTATCTGTCATTATTCCACAATTCCTCCTCACTTGTCTGTTCTGGATGCTGCATCTTTCCTTATTGTTTAGCAGAGACACCTAATAAGCAATACCCATGAAAATTTTTCCATTTATTCTTCTCAGTCTTCTCTTATCATCTTTTCTACTTGGATTTATCATTTCAACAATAATGAACTTGAGTGATCTTGGTCCTTTGTGTTATAAACTCAGGACTCCTAGGTTAGAAACTTTTGACTTGTTTCATCCAAGCATGTTTATACCTTTGTTTATTTTGCACACGTTTTTGTAGTATTTTTAGTAACATGAAATTCTCTTTTGCTATTAAGAGAATATTTATACATACAAAGAAGAAAACCTGAGAAATTTGTAACACAAAATTATAGCTTCAGGACAACTTTATCGGGAAGATTTTTTTTTTTTTTTTTATTTTTTATTTTTTTTTTTTTTTTTCTATCGGGAAGATTTTTATATAAATGGACTACAAGTTTCTTTATTTCTTTTTTTGTTATGCTGGGACAAGGGATTGAACTCAGGACTTCACAATCTTTCTTGACTGTTTCTCTCAGAACTGGTGCTCTACCACTGGAGCCATACCTCCAGTCTAGTATTTTGCTGATTAATTACAGATAGAACCTCACAGGATTTTCTACCTGCCTGCCTGGGCTGGCATCAAACCTCCAGGTCTTAGTTTTGTCACTGGCATCTAGCAAGTAATATTAGTTTCTGGTAAACTTCACTATGATATTATCTATTATGATATTATCCCCTTTTCCTATTCTTTACACCATGCCTTCACTTGGCTTAGAACAGTAGAGTGCTTCACTTTGTATCTGAAAAAATAAAATGGTATGAGTCCCTAGGACTCATAAATGCCAGGCCTTTTCATTATCTGAGCCTTTCTCCAACCACTGAAACCATCCACATGGCCTGGTGTTCTCGATATAAACCTACGCCCATTTAACAGGATGCTTGGGTATGTGTTTTCTACTTCGATATCCTGGAATAGATTTCAGGGTAAATGATCATTCTATGTTGTTTACTAATGCAGCAGATAATGATTTGGATTGAATGTAGACAAAAACTCTACATTCCTGGTTGATTCCTAATCAGTAGCACATGCTAAGTTGATTTCAGTTTCAAGATTTGAGATTAGGAGTTGAATAGAAGATAATTATTTACTGATCTAGTATGATGAGATGGGTAAATCCAAAATGAAAGGGAGAGTTCTGTGTTCTGACCCTTTTAAATATAGAAAATGGCATTATTTAATTGTAACTTTGTGAGTTGATGGTTTGGATTTAATCATAATCTTGGAAATGTATCCTGTGTTTTCAGTTTTATTCATCTCAGTGTGTTTTGTAACTTACATTGTGGTTTATTCTTGAACTCATCTGGTTGCTTGTTTTAAATTTTCACATTCTTGTGAATTTCCCCCAATTTCTTCTTATTGTTGACTTTTATTTCAATCCCTAGTGGTCAGAAAACATACTTTGTAGGATTGCAAACCTTTCCTAATCAATCGAGCTTCATTGACTTGTCTGACATATGGTCTGCCCTGGGGGAAGTCCAGAGTACACTGGCGAAGAAGCTTGGCTGTGTTTTGGTTTAAGATGTGATGTTCTACAAATGTTTCTTAGATTTGTTTTGTTTATAGTGTTCAATGAAATTTTTATTAATCAATTTTTTTTGTTGCTAGTTTTCCAAGCAAAATAATTTAAGAAATGCTAGAAAATAATCTAAGAAAAACTAGGAGGCACCACAAAACTCTATTCTAAAGTATAAAACAGAACTTTAGATATGAATATAGAAATGATTTTTTATTACCTAGTTGTGATTGTTTCTAGAAAGCTACCTAGATGATCTCAGTTCACACAGAACTATAAAAATACCAAATTTATAGTTTGTATTGGGGAAGTTTTGGTGATTGATAATGTACACACATGCACACACACACACACACACACACACACACACACACACACACACACCATTATACCCATATACACAGAACCACTTCTAATATTTTATACTACAAAATAGTATAAAATAGTATAAAAGTAAACAAATCTAGGGAGATATAATCTCAGAAAACATTTTAAATATATATTCAAAAAGCTGATAATGATTACATCTTTCTTTCAGTCTTCTACTGTTTACCATTTTAATAGTGTCTAACAATAAACTAGCTAGCTATTCAGGTTTTAAGAGAAGAAATGCACATTTGTAGAACAATCATTGGAAATCTATTTTACCCATGTAAAATTGTAACTATTTCATTGGAATAAAATTGAACTTTAGAAATGAACTGACTAGTGAGATATCTATTTTTACTGTCTCCCAGAGAAATAAAACTATATTAGGAACATAGACATTTTCATATCTTATTCCCTTCACTTTAGCTTTGTTATTGTTATTATTATTGTTATTGTTATTTACGGTGCTAGAACTGAGCCCAGCATCTTAGGCATGCTAGGTAAACATTCTACTAATGAGCTATATCCTTTTATTTCTTTTTCAGGAGCAGGCTTGACTACTTTAGAGGCCAGTTATGAGGAGCTTGGATTTCCAAACATATCACCAAAGGTAGAAGATATGTATATAGAAAATGATCCTGGAGGGCTGGGAAGGTGGCTTAGTGGTAGAGTGCTTGCCTGCATGCATGAGGCCCTGGGTTCAATTCCTCAGTACCACATAAGCAGAAAAAAGCTGGAAATAGCACTGTTGTTCAAGTGGTAGGGTGCTAGCCTCGAGCTGAAGAGCTGAGGGACAGCACCCAGGCCCCTACGACTGACAAAAAAGAAGAAAAAAAAAAAAAAAGAAGTGATAGAAAATGACCCTGGATCTTCAATATAGACAGTTTTGTAAGAAATGAAATTCTAGATTTAAAAACATACTTTAGGATTTTTCTTTGGAGCCTCTCACTTTTTAGAGGCTCATTACTTTCCTTTTACTTTCAAATAAACTTACTTTACTATATAAAAAAGTCATGAAAGTAAAGTGTGTGTAGAAAAACAATATATATAGCAAAGTATATATATATATATATATATATTACATATTATATGATATATATATACAAAGACTCTTTCAAAACCAGAAATGCCTTAGTTTTGTCATTATTCTTCATTTAGCTGAGGCTTCAGGACATTACAGATCTGTAAATATTTGAAGAGTTAGCGCTTTCCTCCTCTGATCTGTCAGAGCTGAGACAGCAATATTAAGGCTGCTGTGAGTTATGCTTTTGCTGTAACTCAGCTTTTAATTTTCTTTTTCTAGCTGATGTCTACATATTGCAGTTTGTATTTTAATTGATATATTAATTCTATAGAACAGCTTGTTTCGTTGTGACATTTTCATGTATGTCTTGTCTCTATTATTTTGTCTTCCCTTCCCCCAAGTCCCTTCCTGTAGCAAATTAACTGTCATCACCTTTTAGCATTAGAATTCAGTTAATATTGACTGTAACTGGCTGACAGTAATTGTAATGCATCTTAGGTTTTACAGTTGACACAGAAGCCTTAATTTTATATGGAAATTAATGTTACTGATTTAAGTGAAATGATTGCTTCACACTAACTTTATTCTAAATTAGATTCTCCTCTCTCGCACTATGTAGTCTCACAAGAATTCTGTCAAATCTCTTTTCTTTCTTACAAGACAGAGTTATTTTTGTATTCATTTCTTCTTTTAGGGAGCAACCCGTGTTATGGCAGATAACGCTATTATTCCTGAATGTAATAAAAAAGGTAAAAAAAAAATATTTTCTTTAAAGTGTGCTTTTATGCAGGTGAATTTAGAGGAGGAAATGTCCAAATAACACCTAAGGGTAAGTCAGGTTTAGTATAAAACTTTCATATATGTGAAAACATTTTCAATTTTGATTGATACAGTTCTAATAGATGTTAAGAATCCATTGACTAGGCTGGGCATCAGTGGCTCACACCTGTAACTCAGAAGGCTGAGAACTGAGGGTCTGGATTCAAAGTCAGCCACAGAAGAAAAGTCTGTGAGATTCCATCTCAATTAACCACCAAAAAGCCAGAAGTGGAGGTGTGACTTAAGTGGAGCTCTAGCCTTGAGTAGAAAAAGCTAAGGGACAGCACCGAGACGCTGAGTTCAAACACCAGCACTGGCATGTGTACACAAAAAGATTATAAATTTGCAAATTTTGCCATAACATAAGAGAGACTTTCCTTGTTAGTAAAACTTACCATTTTTGCCAGGTGCCAGTGGCTCAAGCCTGATATCCTAGCTACTGAAGAGGCTCAGATGAAAAGATTGAGGTTCTAAACCAACCTGGCAGGAAAGTCCATGAGACTCCTATTTCCAATTAACCACCAAAAGGTGGGAAGTAGCGCTGTGGCTCAACTGGTAGAAGACTAGCCTTGAGTAATATAGCTCAGGGACAACTCAGAACCTGAATTCAAGCCCCAGGACTGGAATGATAAAAGACTAAAAGTAATTTGCCACTTTTTATATATCATAAGAAAACTTTTAAACTTATCTTGGGTCTTGTTTAACTGTACATATTGTTTCAGCAAAGATCTTTTGAGATACTTATATTACAGTGCTGAAGGTCTATATGAAATCTGTATTTTCCATATTAACTTCCCTAATTTATTAGTAGAAAGAATAATTGGGTCGCACTAGGAGGCATTCTGATAAAAAATTAAACACTGTTGAAGATTACCTTACCTATGTTTTGCCACAAGATCTGATGCTCCTTTGAAATTAGATAAATTATATAAAATTTGGTTCCTTAGGATACTAAGTGTGTCTTTAGAGAATATTTTATTTTGACTATGAAAACACAGACAAAATTGGGCTCTGAAGGATGAAGCCAAGGGTTTTTTAAATGTTGTTATTGTCATTATTGTTTGTTTTGGGGGAGGATTGCTTGTTAGTTTGTTAATTTGTATTTTATTATCCTTAAATACTTTCTTCAATCTCTACTTTAGGTGATTTTTTTTTTTAAACAGAAGCAACTGCTAGTCTTCTCAGAGAAAGTCAGTTAGGCTTTGGCTCATGAAAAGTATCTCTTTAAGTCAAGCTTGGAGAATATTGTGCATTTTTAACATGAATTCTCTTTCCAGAGTTTGTCCTTCCATCCTTCCTTCCTACCTTCCTTTCTTCCTTCCTTCCTTTTTTCTTTCTTTTCCTTTTTATTTTCTTCTTTCCTTCCATTTTTCTTTCTTTTCCTCTTTCCTTCTTTTTCTTTCTTCCTTCATTCCTTACCTTTTTCTTTCTTTATTTTGGTCTTTCTCTTTCCTTCCTTCCTTCCTTCCTTCTTTCCTTCCTTCCTCCTTCCTTTCTTCTGAAGCTATTTTAAGGTCACAACCAATCAGCAGTGATGTATTGACCTAATGAGAAAGAAACAAAATCTTGGAATCATCTCTTTGGCTGATCTCTTAGAGAGGTAATAAAAATCATAATACTAGTGCTTAGAGATCTAAAAATCCATTTTCTGTGTGAAATGACAGAACTGGACCCAAATAACTGTACAGAGAACACATCACATGCTGGACTTCATTTGGGTTCAGGACACTCCTCTATAGAGGAGTCTATCCACTTTTAATGGGCTCTGAAGTTTAGTTACAATAGTGATATTGGTTCTTAGTGATTTGTCGTCTCCCTATTTTCCTTCCTAAGGACTATTACTAAAACCTTCCATTAGCTTCCAGAATATCATAGATGGAACCAAAAATTTCCATGAAGACTTCCTAATCGGTGAAGAGGAGCTTTTTGAGGTTTACAAAGTGAAGATTCAAAGCCGTACATATGCCATTAAATTATTTAAACAGGTACAGAAGACTTACTATCACAGGATATACAGTCCATTTATTCGCTCATATTTCACATTTAAATGCACCATTTTCATCAACGTTGAGAAGAGGTATATTTGAAAATAAAATTTCACAAATGGAAATAAGACATGATCTCAGTTGCCTAGAGAAATGAGAAATGACTGCGTGAATGTAGAAACTAATTTCTTCCCATCCCCAGATGTATTGCATGTAAAATACTGTTCCAGAAGCTGGTCTCTGGTCTCCAGAACTTAGCTGAAGAGGATCAGGTTGTGCTGTACTTCAGAGGAGCTCTGTCCTTCCAGGCAGTGTCCTGTTGGCATTAACAGGGTAGTGTAGCAAATTGCACATTTTCTATCATAGAAATTGTCTTCTCTCACAGTTCACGAGGATAGGAAAAAAGGAAGTTTCATGCAGGGGGGTGTTAGTTTTTCATTACTATGACAAATACCTGAGAAAATCAATTTAATAAAGGGGCAGTTCATTTTGGCTGGCGGTTTCAGGGGTTTCAGCCCATTGTCAGCTGGCTGCATTGCTTTGGAGCCTGTGATGAGGAAGAACAGTTTGGAAGGGCATAGTAGAAGGAGTCTGCTCAACTCAAGTAAAGCCAGAAAGCAGAAGAGATACAGCCAGGGGCAACAGACTGTGTGCATCTTTCTGTGGCATTCTTCTAGGGATCTGTTTTCTCCAACTGGGTTCACATCCTTCTTCCCTGCACCTCACAGTAAAAAATACCATCATATGATGTACTCATCAAGGTACTACTCCTTTGATGAAGTCAGATTCTTCATGGTCCAATGGCTTCCCCAAATCCCTATCTCTTAATATTGCTGCAATGGGAACCAAATTTTTAACACAGGAGTTTTTTAGTGGACACTTCATCTCCAAACTATAACAACGTTATGGAAACTACAAGCCATTAATAGAGTAGTGTAGCAACTTACAAATGTGAACATTATAGCGGTGGGTGGGTGAAGCCTAGGAGCATACTTAGTGTCACTCTTTCATGGTAGAATTTAGCAACCTGAGATCTAGGAACATGCGTGGACTTAACTCTGTCCACATTAAAAAATATACGTCAGGCCAGGCGCCCATGGCTCACACCTATAATCCTAACTACTCAGGAGGCTGAGATCTGAGGATTGCGGTTCAAAGCCAGCCCAGGCAGGAAAGTCAGTGAGACTCATTGCCAATTAACCACCAGAAAACTAGAAGTGGCACTGTGGCTCCAGTGGTAGAGTGCTTGCCTTGAGCTGAAGAGCTGAGAGACAGCACCCAGGCCCAGAGTTCAAGCCCTACAACTGACTAAAAAATAAACAAATAAATATATATACATATAGATATACATATATATGCACACACACACACACACACACACACACACACACACACACACACACACACACACACACACACACACACACACACACACACACACACACACACACACACACACACACACACCAGGCCTGGGTGCTGGTGGCTGATGCCTATAATCCTAGCTACTCAAAAGTCTGAGATCTGAGGATTACAATTCAAACCTAGCTCCAGCAGGAAAGTCTATGAAACTCTACTCTCCAGTAACACCAAAAAGAATTGAAGTGTGACTCAAGTGGTAGATTGCTAACATTGAGTGAAAAAAGCTAATAGAGTGGCCAGGCCCTGAATTCAAGCCCCAATACCAGCTCACACAAACAAAATTAATAACATACCAGGAACTGAATAGGTACCCTATATAATGTTAATAAATTTAATAATTTCTTCAATATTCATATATCAGGCTCTAGGCTAGCCTCTGACACTTTTTGAGTTGACATATGCAACTGAGCCAACTTATAATGAAATTCTCAGAATACAGGTAATATGAATTGGATTCTTTGTGAGATCAAGAGTTTCTGTCATTGAATCTTTCTTGAATACTTTTTAAAATATTTTTGAATTTATGTAAATTATGAAAATATGCTGAAAGTGTTTTAATCTGGAATTTGGCAACATGACATATGTGTGAACAATTTTTTAGCAATGATTGTAACTCTGTTTGGGGTTGATGAATTTTTTTTGAAAATCTGATGACAGTTAAAGATCTATCAGCCAGAAAAAGAAATTCAAATTCGTTTATACCAAAAAGTTTTAATATTATCTAATTAAATTAATTCCCATCTAATTTCAGACCCCTCAGAAATAGAGTTCCTTTTGTTATTCTTACTCTATGTTTTCCATATATTTAGGACAAGAAAATACAATATGAGAAACATTGGAAAAGATTTTTATCTGAACTTGAAGTTTTACTTCTGTGAGTATATTTTTGTCTGAATTTTCCCCTTCATGCCTGGGTTCATCTCTGTTTATCTTTGATTTTAAATCACAGTGATTAGCATTTAATTAATGTGGGTTAGGTGTTAGAACACTGGGTTCCTTTTTTGACATCTGCTTCAATATATTCCTTAAAGTACATTTTAAAATAGACCATTTACATAATTCACTTCAACATATTTCAACAAGAAACTGTCACAAGGAAGTAGGTTAAATTGTGTGTGACTAACATGACTGAATAGTAATTCTTGGAACAAAAATTGTATGTATTTCCCCCTTCTCCTGTTCCTTAGAGACATTTCAGTTGAGAAACAGTTTCATCACTGAGACTTTCTTCAGGAAGAGAGTTCTAGACAAAGACATCAAATGCTTTTAATGTGCATATTATTTTCTGGGAACTCATTCATGAATCTTACAGTCCTTGGAGACAAATTTAAATGACTTCATTTTCATAATATATTCCTATCTGTAGCTATAAATTCTTCTTCATTGAAGGCTTCTAGCCCTGTGGAGTTCACTCATCACCCTTCGTATGCATAGAAATGTTCTTTTCAGCTGTTCTCGGGAAGATATGTAGAGTTGGGGGTTGATGGAAAGGGAGGGACGGAAGACATTAATTATACTGAATTCCATGGCTTTATCCACAGGAACAGAAACTAAAACAGCAGAAGCTAAATACCTACTATATAGCTGGTTTAAAAAAATGTTTCAAATTCCAGTGATTGATCATTTGCATATAAAAGTAAGATTCAGACATTTTCTAATTCCAAAAGGGCAAAGAAACCAAGAAAGACTTTCTCCCACAATCCAGCTGGATCTCCAAAGGCGACAGTTATCTGTTTGTTTTATATATTCCTAGAGATATTTTATGTATAGTCCAACAAGTATTTGCCTTTTTATTTTCCTCCTCTTATACAAAAGGTAACATAGATACATTACTCATTTTGCTCATTTTTTTATATTTAGTCTGTGCTCTACAGTATCCTATTCCTCTTCAGGGATTTAAAGTTTTTTATTTTTTTCATTTCCCCCCCCCCCCCCAGTCTTTTATGAAAGAAAGAAAGAAAGAAAGGAAGGAAGAAGGAAGGAAAGAAAGAAAGTTGAGCACTGATGGTTCATGCTTCTAATCTTAGCTACTCAGGAGGCTGAACTCTAAAGAACTCAGTTCAAAGCCTGCCAGAGCAGGAAAGCCTGTGAGACTCTTATCTTTAATAAACTACTCTGAAAAGGCTTAAAGTGGTGCTGTATCTCAAGTGGTAGAGCACAGTCTTGAGCATAGAAAGATTCAGGGCCAGCACACAGGATCTGAGTTCAAGCCCCAGAACCAGAAAAAAAAATTGCAGCAAGATTGCTTTTATTCTTGGTGTCATCTCCAAAGGTATTGCAAAAACCAATGTCAAGGAGGCTGTTTTCTATGTTTGTTTGTTTTCCCAAAAGCCTTGTGGTTTTAGACCTTGCATTCAGTCTTAAGTACATTTTCAGATAATTTTTGAATTTGAGGTGAGACCAGTGCTATTTCCTGCTTTCCCATGTCAGTTTTCCCAACACCATTCATCAAAGAATTTTTTAAATTTCCATCTGCTATATTATATCTTCCTTAAGGATTAACTAACCATGTATGTATAAGTTTATTTGTAAACCCTATTCTGGTCCATTGATCTATATTTTTGTTGTAATGCCATCACATACTATTTTGATTACTATAGTTTATACCAGGAAGCAAATGCCTCTAGCTTTATTCTTCTTACTCAAAATTGCTTTGACTGTTTGGGGCCTTTCATGATTTAAAATTTTTAGAAGTTTTTTTCCTATTTCTGGGGGAAATGTAATTAGAATTTTAATACTGATATATTGAATCTGCAAGTCATTATGGAGATTTCACGAGCTTCAAACCAGCAATTTCTCTCCACAGCATCTCCATGTTCACACCTCATTGACCTCTACAGTATCCATTGTTCTGTTTGGTTAGTAATGTTTAAAAATAAGCAAATGAGCTAGGTGCCAGGGGCTCACGCCTGTAATCCTAGTGTGTGTGATATCTGGAGTGTGATATCTGAGGATCACCATTCAAAGCCACAGCCCAGGCAGGAAAATCCATGAGACTCTTTATCTCCAATTAACCACCAGAAAACCAGAAGTGGCACTGTGGCTCAAGTGGTAGAATGCTCACCTTGAGCTGAAGAGCTGGGGGACAACACCTAGGCCCAGAGTTCAAGCCCCACTACTGACCAAAAAATAAAAAAAGCAAATGATCATTTCTATTCCGTGGGCAATGGAGCAGAGGATCAGGCCATGACAGTATCTATGTGTCTACATTTCTGCTATCTTCTGCCTCCCAAAATACTTTGTCTCAGAATTATTTTAGATTGTGAGAGAACCACATAGCAAGTGGTTTCGATCAGCTGTTGAAGTAGCTGAATCTACCTCTTCTATTTCTTTTCTGTCCATTGCTTTTCATTTTAATAGATCTAGTACAAATAAAAATATGTATAGGGACCTTAAATCAGAAAAATTAAAAATAAGTCTTTAGGTGAGCCCAGTGACCTGCACCTGTAATCTTAGCTACTCAGGAAACTGATCTGAAGATCACAGTTCAAAGCCAACCCCAGGCAGGAAAGTCCATGACTCTTTTTTTTTGGTCGGTCATGGGGCTTGAACTCTGGGCCTGGGCACTGTCCCTCAGCTCTTCAGCTCAAGGTGAGCGCTCTACCACTTGAGTTACAGCGCCACTTCCGGTTTTCTGCTGGTTTATTGGAGATAGGAGTCTCACAGTCTTTCCTGCCCGGGCTGGCTTTGAACTGTGATCCTCAGATCTCAGCCTCCTGAGTAACTAGGATTACAGGTGTGAGCCACCAGCGCCCGGCTAAGTCCATGACTCTTATCTCCAATTAACCAGCAAAAAGTTGGAAGTGGAGCTGTGGCTCAAGTGGTAGAGTGTGAGCCTTTAGCAAAAAAGGACAGCATACAGGCCCTGACTTCAAGCTTCAGGAATGGCACACATGTATACATACATGTGTATGTGTTTATGTATACATACAGACACACCCTGAGATGAGGGATAAAACTAATCCCAAGCTATATATACATTATTTATAGCCACACACACACACACACACACACACACACACACACACACACACACACACTTACACACCTCATACATACATTTGTATATGTGAGAGACAGAGTATAAGTTGCTACAAAAGCAAATAGTCCTTTATAAGTAGAATATTTTTTAGCCAAGCATGATGTTGAGATCTAGAGGATTTCAGTTTGAAGCCAGCCTAGGCAGAAAAGTCTGAATGACTCTATCTTCAGCAAAATTCTGGACTGGAGGTGTGGCTCAAGTAGTAGAACACCAGCCATGAGCAAAAAGATAAGTGATCTCAAGCTCTGTTAGCAGCATGCACACATATATATAAAAAATAAACATTTTTCCATAGCCTCATTTGTTTTAATATTCCCAACCATGTCCAGGACATCATAGTATTTAATAAATGATTGTTGAATTACACAGAATTCCTAGTAAATGCCACATGTTTTATATTTCATAGTGATTATCTGTCATCCAGAGGTGTTCATAGCAATGGCACATACACTCAGGGAAATAGTTTTGTTAGTAGGCTAATAAATTATTATTATGAAGGGAGCCTGAGAGATATATTCTACACTCATATAGAAATCTGTGGCTTGTTTTTCTTGGCATGAAATTACTAGTTACATGGATTTTATGTAAGGATATAATTTTTGTGAAGACTTGCTATCTCTTCCCAGCTTGTAACCGGGGACAGATCCAGTACCTGACATAGTAATACTCAATAAATGAATGAATAGAAACCAGTTTCTATTCAGATACTGTAACTTAGTGATTTTATTTACATTGTACATTTAAATAAGTCAAATGATCAATTTCTGTTGCATTATTTTTATCTATAAATACCATAAGTATATGGTGTTTCATACTGATAAAAATAAATTATTAAGTCGGGCACCGGTGGCTCACACCTGTAATCCTAGCTACTCAGGAGGCTGAGATCTGAGGATCACAGTTCAAAGCCAGCCTGGGTAGGAAAGTCCGTGAGACTCTTATCTCCAATAAACCATTAGAAAACCAGAAGTGGCGCTGTGGCTTAAGTGGTAGAGCACTCGCCTTGAGCTGAAGAGCGCAGAGACAGCGCCCAAGCCCAGAGTTCAAGCCTCATGACCAACACCCCCCAAAAAAATTAGTGAAGGGTTGTCCTAGTTTTCAAAATTCAAAACTGTACATGGTTTCATAAAATTTTGTTCACATATAGATATTTCATTTTATGTGCATAATTGTAGTACTTGTACAGAAAGCAAATCTGTGTCATATGTCCAGTGGAATTGCTTCTTCCTTGGCTGTGTTTATCTACTTTTTGATCTATTCTCCATGTTTCCAAAGCAGTGAATTGTTCGTATCCTATCCGAACAGACAGTTTGATGGTTCTCAAAACCTTCTGTTTCAAGGTTCCATCATCCCCACATACTAGAACTGGCTGCGTATTTTATGGAGATGGAGAAGTTCTGTCTGGTCTATCCATACATGAGCAATGGAACCCTTTTCGACCGACTACAGTGTGCAGTAAGTCATGTCTATCATTTGCCTGGTCCTGTGACCTGCTGAAGCACAAGGGTAAGGGAGGGTCTGCTGAGATCCATGGGAACTGGAAAGTCAAGCCATATGCACAAGAGGGCTCTACCAAGAAAATAGGCTTTTCCTAGTTCTGTAAGGAAGATGGAACCCAGGGCCTCAAGCATGCTATAAGCAAACAGTGAGTCAGCAGAGCCCTGTTTCTGGCTTTTTGTGTTACATTTGTTTGCTTCCTTGTTCACTGACTTTTTCTGAGCCAGCCTACAACTCCAGATTCTCATGCCTCCACCTCCTGAGTAGTTATGATTACAGGGATGTACCACCAAGCTGGGCTCAAGAATTAATTTCCAACTCATAGAAACTGCATAAATAATTAGAGGGTTTGAGTTCCAAGCAACATGCATGCCACATATTTGTTGGTTTCTTACTCCGTACTGGTTCTAAAAACCTGAGTATATATTACTATTCTTATTTCCCAGGTAACTTTAATTTGCATAATTTTATAGAAAATATCATTGCATACAAAGGTCAGACATAAAAGTGATGAGTTACCCCCTGTATATCACCTTTATAATAAAAATAACAAAATAAAAATTTAAATAAAAAAGAAAGAGTTAAATGAATGCCATAATCTTCTCTATGACATATTTTAAGGGCAAGTTTAAGAATTGATTGCAAATAGTTTAATTTTCAGGGAGAGTGAGAACAAAAAACTAATTTTAGTTATTGATACTATTATGGCCCCAAGTAATTTTAAAATCTTTAAGGGGCTTCCCTTGTGTATCTTGTGGATTTGGGAATCAAATCCTAGCCCTTTCACATGCTAGACAAGGGCTCAACCCCTGAGCCATATACCTACTCCTGTCATGTTTCATTAAGCTAAAATTTAAAAAAGTATTGGGTGAGAAGGTGAGGTCGCTTATGTGTATGGAAATGTCACACAGAGTCCCCAACACCCCCAGTAATGTATGCTAATAAAAAAGTAAGAGAAGAAGGTGAAAAGTAAAAAAAATTAAATATTTCTATCATCTCTAAAGAAGCAGGCCCATCATCAGTAGTAGATAAGAACCCATTTGGAACTCAAAATAGGTTGATAAGAAACCTACATGTTTGTCCTTTACCCTTCTTGACATATTGGAAAATTAGCTTATATTCAGAAAATGTAACTAAACTTACTGCCACTGTCTTCTTAGGGTAACACAGCCCCACTCTCGTGGGACATCCGAATCAGCGTATTAATTGGTGTATCCAAAGCCATTGGATATTTGCACAACATTCAACCATGCTCAGTCATCTGTGGCAGTATATCCAGGTAAATGATCACAGAGCTTTAGACTATACCTTTCACCACCACAGGTGGGTCATATTTCACATATTTCTATCTATACTTTTCCTCATTGGAAGTGGAGGCATGGCTCAAATTGTAGAGCACTAAGCTGTAGGTTAAAAAAAAAGCTGAGTGAGACAGCAAAGCCCTGAGTTTGAGCTCCAGAAAAAAACACACATAAAAGCATTTCCAAGCAAGGAAGACAGATTTGCTTGAGAAGATTTGCAGGTTGGAGGATAAAACACGATTGGAGATAAAGAATGTGGTAAATAGGAGATTAGAAGGGGCCTTATTCATGAGAAGAATTAACTATATTTGCTAAACTGAGCTGTGGTGAATGACTCTGAGACTTGTCTGGAGTTGTGTGTGGGAAGAGAAAAAAATCTGCTTTCTCTCAAGTAGTATCACAACTGAAGAGGAGGCCAGTTCTTCCAGAACAGTCTCCCCTATACTGGTTTATAAAATAATTTTAAGTAAGACTGGCAGACAAAATCCTCAATAAGTAAATATATCCAAAGAGGATATCCAAAGAGATCTAATCAGAGCTAAGGAAAAATACTGTGGAAGAAGCAGAAATTGAGGTGGAAATGTAACTAATGATGGATTCATTTGGAAGAGCATTCAGTCATGTCCATCAATAGACTATACCCACTCAGAATGTTAATGTGTTAGAGTACAAAGTTCTGGAGCTATAAACATTAGCTTGAGAACTGGTTTTACAAAGGCTCATCAGTGTATCCCTACTGCTTCATCACCTATCAACCCCTTCTCACAGCCATTGAACTCCAAGTCTTTCTGCTGAACTGCAAGGCAAAGATGTTAATTAGTGCCAACTCTTACCATAGACTTAATTCTCTTGTTTGGTGACCCGCACCCCTATTCTCTAAGAGCTGGAATAAGACTAACACCGTTCATTCAGGTCATCGAACATGTGTCAGATGGTAATGACAATCAATCCCCAGACAAACACCAGTTGTCAATCGTCAGACCTAGATTACTCACCTTCATCTCTCTTAAAGGAAAATTCCACTTCACTTTAATCCTGAACCTCTGTGGTTCTTGGCCTTGTATGTTCTGGAATACATGCCTCTTTTGTCTTTGTTGTACATTTTTTTAACTGTTTGTAGGGAACGACAGCTTTCAGGAGGAATATCATCTATTGTATAGCCTGATAACTGGCTCAACAAAAACACTTGTCAAAATCTATATAGAACAGAGTGACCTTTTTCCTGAGTAAATCAAGGAAGTATTTTTTCTGAAGGAGTGAAAAATAGAAGATATTATTTCTTTTCTTTTCTATAGTTAGTCTTCAGATTAGTGGGCCATGGAAAACCTTATCATAAATCAGTTGACATTATAAATAATGTTATTAGTTGATGTTGTAAGTATGAAATAACATGGAATAATGTGTATAAAGTGAAAAAAGTAAGAAGACAAAATGAAATAGTATATAGTACATACTTGTACACATAATTATAACTCTATAGAACTACAGATTACTTTACTTACAAGAAAGATTGAAAGTAAAACATACCAAAATATCAACAAGGGTTTATTTAGATAGACTGTAGGTTTATTTATTTATTTATTATAAAAGTGATATTCAGAGGGAATACTGTTTCATAAGTCAGGTAATAAGTACATTTCTTTTTTTACAATGTCATCCTTTCCTTCACTCTTTCCCAGTTTTTCCCTCCCACTTCTGCCCACAAGTTGTAAAGTTCATTTTCAACATAGTGTCTACTGAGTCCCAGGTTAGTTTTCTAATAGATTAATTTTTTTCTTTCCATCCATTTAAAATGTGCAAGGAGTATTTTCTATTCTTATAATAAAAACAAAATTATTAGAAAAAATAACGAGTGAAACCTTGCTCACACTATCAGAAGAAGTTCCAAGACAGTTTCAAATTGCTAAATAAAATTCTTAAGTCTTTACCCCAGTCATTCTTCATAATTAATTCTATCTATATAAAAACTTGGTTAAAAAGTTGTAAAATGCCAGCCAACCTTTATGCTGATCAGACTCTCTACGGGGCAGAGCTTAGGAGTGTTGAAGGAAATACCTGCAGCCGCTATCCCACACTGGAATTGCTCTTTTAAGAAAACTTCTGAAATGATTATTTTCTTCCTGATCTTTTCTCTCCTTTTCTCCTTCCCCAACTACCCCAGTGATCTCATTATTGTCCCTGTCTCTTGTTACTCTTTAAGAGTATGACCTTTGTGCCATCTGGAGGTAAGCATGACATCACTGCACTTGCTAGATGGGGGTGTGAGTTTGAAATGAGGTCATAAATGGAATGTGCAGTCCAGATCTGATTCCCACATAATGTTAGACTCATCTCTTCTACCTCCTGTGTGTTCCTTCCAACCTGTGTTTGAACTCCAGCCATGAGGGAGGGTCTAGCACATGGGGTTCTTTTTCCATTTGAGTGCAGATCTAATTACTATAGTATTTTTTGTATTTAAAGCTAAAATCCAATGGCTGGGTGTTAGTTTATTTTGTCTTTGGAACAGCTAAAGAAAAAAAAAAGTAAAAATTCATCCTTCCTCCTTGTAATCGACAGTTTCTTAATCTTTTATTCATATAATTGAATGAAAAGGTCCCCCCCCCCACCTTCCTTAACTGTAGTAAATAAAAGAGCACCAAACAGGGAATTAGAAGAGCTAGATTTTAGTCCTGGTGCTGACATTAAGCTATTTTGCATGAAATAAGTCATGTCAGCCATGTGGGCTTCGTTTATCTCATCTGAAAAAGAGGCAGTACACTCTAGCAGCCATGACAAATCAATTTTAGCTCACATTCCATCTATGATGGATTGGTAATGATTTCCCAAGTGCAGTGGTGAGAAGGAACTTAGGGTGGGTGCTTTCTGAACTCAATTACTGATGTCTGCCAATCACATGGGCTAAATATTTGCTTTATCCAAGTTCAGAATGTTTACATAATACCTCTAAATAAACAGAGATCCCATTTATTTTGGCTCAGCATTGTGCTGTTGTAAACAACATGCGATGGCCTCCAGTTAAGGACCAAATGGTACAGTTGAGGTTGTCCAGTGGGAACAGTGAGGGAGGAGCACAGGAATTCAGAGCAGTGCAGGGAGATGCATGCGGTAGAAGCACATCTTATGGCTGTGTGGAGGATTTGGATGAACATTAGGGAGGGAGACGGACTTTCAATATGAGAGGCACAGCATAAAGAACCCCCCAAAGAGAACAAATAAGTTCAGTTTATCCTGTCTGCACTGGTAAATATGAACATATTAAGAGTGACAGAAAGACTTCAGGCTTGCGGATTAGGGAACTCAGTGAAAGCCAAAGGATGCAAGACCTGATGCAAACACCCACTAAATACCTGGTTCTTAATCTGCCAACAATGGTGACTGTAGGTTTTAATTGTTATCATCTCAGTTTGATAGGAGAAAGTCCCAAGTTAGTAACTTGCCTCTGTCGCATGGTAGGCAAGAGGAGGTGACATTCCATGTTTGTGTGAGTCTAGCAATCATCCTCTTATTATGGGATTAATGGTTTTGGATTACTTGGAGCATATTGGCTTCTACCACTCCACCTCTTAGAGGGGGTGTGAAGCAGAAACATTGAGGAGAGTAGGTTGAATTTATGGTACAAAATTCGGTAATGTAATCAGTGAACACATAGTGAATATCATAGCAGGCAGCCAGCCATCTTTGAGGGGGATATAAGGCCTGGAACTCTGCATTGTCAACCTTGGTTTGTTCAAGCAGCATGAGTAAATGGCTTTCTAAGGAAGAAACTGTGGAGGTCTCAGTTGGGAACACCCACAGGAGGAAGCCAAACCCACGTTCCAAGGGCATTTTCAACAAGTCTAGTGGTTTATTTAGCCCCCAAAAATGCTTTAGTAATTTGAACTCTTCAAATAGAATGTTATAAAAACAAAACTCACTTCCAGATGGTGGAATTTGAGGAGGAAAGGATTTAAAGAAAAGAATCCCAAAGAGTTGCAATCTGTATTCTTGGCAAAGGGCCTCTTACATTTTTATTTGGGCAACGAAGATGTTTTTGAATTACAGGATCACATAAAAGCATCTGAAAGCAGTAAACCTACTTGTTATTTCCATCCCATCCTTTAGAAAACTTAATTGTTTTCACATTTATGAACAATTTTAAATGGAAACACATTTTATCCTCAGCACGTTTCATTCCTGCTAATGGTTCCAAAGTGAGGGGATAATCTTGGTGAACATTTCTAATGTGTCCTATAAAATCTTTTTCTTTAATTGTATTGCCATTTGTCTCCTGCCAAGTTAAACAGAGTTCCAAGAGAAAGGAAGGAAAAAAATTGCTTAAAAATGTTATTTTTTTTTTAAAGTGGAAATTAATCAGGGCTCAAAGGTTGGAGTGAGTAAATGCATGGATCATTTCCTTTGTGAGGGAATAGAAAGACTGAGTAGTTGGGAAAACTGGGCAGGAAGCAACAGATTAGTGTTTTCCCCTGCTCACCGCCCCCCACCCCCCACAACTCCCTAGATACAAGAACAGTTTTGCCTAAGGACGCAGCTCCCTCCTGCCTTTATTATTGTACCTAAACCTCAACATTGATTTGATAGACATAGATAGATATGTACATGCATGTACAATACATGCCAAAAAGGTTTATTTTCCCCTCTCTATTGTCAAATTACCTAGAAATATTGCTTCAGTTAAATGTGTCTAAGACTTTGGTTTCTTGAAACTAATTAACATTGTACTGATTAACCAAAGGTTAGAGTAAGCAGGACTTGAGGACCAGGATGTACCCTGTTGTACCACTGTCATCATCAATGTAATGCCAAGGTCACAGTACCCCCCCACAAGAAGACCACCGAGAGTCAGACTCTACAGCTGTTTTATTTAAACGGGCTGCAGTTTGGGCCTCGTCCTACACTCCGACACAGCGGAGCCCAGGAGGAGAGCCCCAAGCTAAGGATTTGCAGGTCTTATATAGGCACACAATCAACCAGGTGTTTTGATTACCACCACGTGTTGCTTTGCTAGACAGAAACAAGCAACATGTGGTGGTCACTGCCTCAATCAATCAATGCCCTTAAACTTCTAATATTACCCAACCCAACCTCTTGAATTTTAAGATAAGGTGTAAGAAGGACAATGGCCAGTCTATATTCAGTGTTGACCGTATGTGGGTGGGAGGTGTGGGTGTGAGTGTGTATGTGTGTTATTAGGATTTAAACAGGGGCCTCCTCGTGGTTATTTGACTTGCTTGCTAGCTTGATACTCTACCACTTGAACCAAGCCACTAGCTTTGATTTTTTTGTGGTGATATTTGGAGATAGAGTCTCACAACCAATGCTTCTGCTTGAACTGACTTGAACCATGATCCTCCAGGTCTCAGCCTCCTAAGTAGCTAAGATTATAAGCCTGAGTCACCAGTGTCCAGCTACCAGTCCATATTATTTAAACTGTATCTTGAAGTCCTTTCTAAATAATAGGAGCTTTACTTATAGTTTTTGTTGTTGTTGTTTTTGTTGTTGTTTTTGTGTCTTTGTACTTGTCTCAAGGTTTGGACTCAGGACCTTGGCAGTGTTCCTGAGCTTTTTTGCTAAAAAGTAGCATTCTACCACTTGAGACACAGCTCCATTTGCAACTTTCTGGTGGTTAATTGGATAGAAGAATCTCATGGGCTTTCTTGCCAGGTTGGCTTTGAACTATGATCCTCAGATCTCAGCCTCCTGAGTAACTAGGATTATAGGCATGAGCCATTGGTGCCCAGCTTTACTTACTTTTTAAAGGTTTAATCTTGATGAAAACCTAGTGAAGTGGACATTGCAAGATCCTTTTACTTGCATGGAAAGTGAAGTTCAAAGAAACTGTGTTAGTTTAGTGAGGTACATTATCTCACAGAGGAACATCTCTGATGAAGTTTCTGCACAGAAAGCTTAGGATCATCAAGTAGCTGTAAAGCACCAACTAACTTTCATTCTAAAACATTCCCTGGGCTCACTGGGGGAAAGAGAAAAATCCCATAAACCAACAGCAAACTAGGTTTAGGTCCATATGATTCCAGGCAAGAGACCATGCATGCTGAAATGGAGGCGTGTGTAGCCACTTTTCCAGTAACACGCATGTCTGAGGAAACTGGGCCTTGCTTCATCTGAGGGGAGGCAGGACACCTGTGGAGAGGTGCAGCACTGTTGTCACAGCTGTGACATACGATATGCGATCTCACGTCAGGCCACCAAAGAGGCCAGTTGAGTTCTCTTGGTCTCTGGGGCTAACTTGGGGAGGGAAGCCCTGAGCTTTCCTGAGGGTTCTTAAACACAGAGGCTGAGTATTGGTAAATTCCGTTAAGTATAGTCACATAGACACATACACATGTACATATATTGGTTATGTTCTTACATGTCAACTACAGCATTGGCACCTAAGTTCAAATCCTGCCTTTTAATCTAGGTGTATCATTTTTACTTTTTAAGGCCCGGAAGCTTGGAAGCAATCTGACACACAAAACAATTCTCACTATAAAGGGGTGTTGCATGGAAGATTCAGATCCTCCAAAGGAATTGTCAAGACTCCACCTTAATAAAGAGATAAAGTAACAAGCCCAGAGCCAGGACACAAACTCATCACCTGTGATGAATTCCCCTCATGTCTTCAATGTATAACCAAGAGTCCTTCTGCTAGGAAACCTACCAGGAGAGCTGATGTCTCTGGGTGTTAGTAAATAGCTTGCAGTCAAGCATAGAAAAAATAAGTTGCAAAAACAGCAAATTGAAAGTGTGGTCCACTTGGTCCACCATATACTATAATGTCATTTTTTATGTGTTTATTTTTTGTTCTTTGGGCATTTTCTTTTCTTGGTTTTTGTTTGCTTGGTTGGTTTTTGGTTGCCAGATTGCAACCAAGCTGCCCCCTTGGCAATCCATTGTTGTAATTTTAGTTGTTTTCTACCATCTTTACTTTGTTAGTCTATTTTATCCCACAGAGTAAATTTACCCAGCTGTCCTGCATTGTAGCTGAAGGCACTTTATGTTTGAACATTCTATTTACAGTTGAGGCAGAAGAAAGCATTAGGGTGGACATGGATTGTGGAAGGGCTTTTTTTTTGTGATTTTCTTCTTCCTGAAACAGAACATCCTTCTTCCATAGCTGCCATTAACCTTTATTTAGAACAGAATAAATCACTGAACTCAAGATTTATGACGTATACTAAGGTCTGCTGGTAAACAACTTTTCTTTTCGCCCAGTGCCATTATTCAATGTGTAAATGCAGCACTCGAATAATTCCATGTCTTGTTGATGACCTCTCACTGACCCCAGGTTCTTGGTGGGTTTCTTGAGTAAGCATTGTGTTTGTGGGCACTCAAATCACCTCTGCCTATCATTCACAGATGTAGGATTTACCAGTTGCAGGAAATTTCCACTAATTTTGTCACGGGTCAAATAATTGCCTCCAATTATGGGGATCATTGTTGTTCTTGCTCCCTCTCTTTCTTTTATATCTAGAAAGGATTTGGTCCTTCTTATGTATTTTGTGCATTCAGCTTTGGCACCGTCAGGCCTCTGCCATTGTATGAGAACAACTACTTAAGCCAGAGTAGGGAAGAAGGGTTAAGAGGAAAGGAGCAGGAGAAGGAGATGGCAAAAGAGGAGAAGGGGAGGAAGGGATGGAGAGAAGTATGTACTGAATCTAACTTCTGCAGTTAGTTACATTTTAAATGAAACTCAAAAGTCAGAGCAAAAAGTTCTTAAAGATGGAACTGTGGGGTTGGGCTATCATTAAAGCAGGATCTACCAAGAGCCCTGAAGCTAGGCACTGGTAGCTGACACCTCAGGAAGCTGAGATGAGAGGCTCACAGTTCAAAGCCAGCCTATGCAGAAGTCTGTGGTACTCTTATCTTCAACTAACCACTAAAGAGCTGTAAATGGAAGTATGGCTTGAGTGGCAGAGAGCTAGCCTTGAGCAAAAGAAGCTAGAGAAAACAGGAAGCCCTGAAGTTAAGCCTCAGTTTTACCAGCACCAAAAGCAGATTGTTCCCAGTTAGTGGCTGTGTGCTGGTAAGCCAAGTTTCCACAGTCCAACTATTTCCATACAAGAAACCCTTAGTTATTAGCTGATTAAAACTCACTTCATGTTGTCATTAAATGTAAGAAAACCACAAAGAAAGCTGCTCTATGGTTAATTATGGTTTGATTTATTGACATAGTTGCAGCTTTTCTCACAATTTTCCTATCTATCTATCTATCTATCTATCTATCTATCTATCTATCTATCTATCTATCTATCTATCTATCTCTGTAAATGTGAAATGCCCACTCTTCATAGGTGAGGTTTTATACCATACTTAGATCGGTGCCTTAAGAGGAAATGATTTAAGAGGTCTGAAGTCCATGGAAATATATGTTTGGCTTCATTTTGTCAATGTTTTGAATTAATCGGATAAAAAGGTGAGCTTACTATGTTGTAATTTTATTAACATCCTTATGATGTTGTGTCTTGTTTGTCCTCAATCACAATTTCAGTGCAAACATACTTTTGGATGATCAGTTTCAACCTAAACTGACTAATTTTGCCATGGCACACTTCCGACCCCACCTAGAACCTCAGAGTTCTACCATTAATATGACCAGCAGCAGCAGGAAAGATCTTTGGTACATGCCAGAAGAGTATATCAGACAGGGGAAACTTTCCATTAAAACCGATGTCTTCAGCTTTGGAATTGTGAGTAACTACTACCAGTTAATAAGGAGAGATTTTTATTGCCAAGAATGTTCTGTTTGTTGTTGTTGTTTTGGTTGGTCATAGGGCTGGGCCTGGGCGCTGTCCCTGAGCTCTTTAGCTCAAAGCAAGCACTCTACCACTTGAGCCACAGCGCCACTTCCAGCCTTTTCTGTTTATGTGGTATTGAGGAATCGAACCCAGGACTTTATGCATGTGAGGCAAGCACTCTACTGTTAAGCCACACTCCTAGCTGACCAAGAATGTTCTTAATTCTCAGAAGAAATATGCAAAGAGCTTTAACATCTAGGCTCATTGACTTACTGCTATCTTATATTTTAATTCTGGTTACCAGTGAAAACAAAAAATAGCAAAAAAGATAATTAGAACTGTTGTATTCATTGTGATTAATAGCTACAACAGATAACATGTATATTCTCAATATATATAGCTGACTTTGTACATATTACCTTTTAGGTAATCATGGAAGTTTTGACAGGTTGTAAAGTGGTGTTAGATGATCCCAAACATATTCAGCTGGTAAGAATTGTCATCATTGGCATACTTGATTTCCTTTTTAGTTATTTTTCAAGTCAACTTCTAGGTAATAAGTTTATCTCTTCCTCTTTCTAGCGTGATCTCCTTATGGAATTGATGGAGAAGAGAGGTCTTGATTCATGTCTCTCACTTCTAGACAAGAAAATTGAGCCCTGTCCTCGGAACTTCTCTGCCAGGCTTTTCTCTTTGGCAGGCCAGTGTGCTGCAACTCGGGCAAAGTTAAGACCTTCAATGAATGAAGTATGTATATATTACATGGCTTTATTCAAAACTGAGCTATGGGAAATTTACATTATGGGAAATCTGAGCTATGGAACATCTAAACCTAAGGATGACTTGTATATCCAAGTGAATTCTTTATCATTGAAGCAAATCCAGTCCCAAACAGATAAGTCTAGCCTAATAAATCATCTTTCTAGATTGCAAAACAATCACACCAGCCACATGCCAGTGACTTATAGCGGTAATCAGGAGGCTGAGATCTGAGAATTGTAGTTTGAAGCCAGCTTAGGGAGGAAAGCCCATGAGATTCTTATCTCCAATTAAAAGTCAGAAGTACAACACCAGCCATGAGCAAAAAAGCTAAAGGAGAAGGTCAGGCCTTGAGTTCACATGCACACATGTGAATGCACACACATACACACACACACACACACACACACACACACACGCACATGCACATGCACACACACACAGAGTTACCATTCACAAGACATAAAGTCTTTTCTAATGTAAAATTTGATAGTTGAATTATTTTCATGAAAATTAGATAATAGTCTTTAATAGGTAGAGCGAGTAAAGATGGGTAATAGAGGGTGATATTCAGATTTAATTCAGTGTTTGTCCTCTTTGTTAATTAGGTCCTGAATGCTCTTGAAAACACTCAAGCCAGCTTATATTTTGCAGAAGACCCTCCAACATCATTGAAATCCTTCAGGTGTCCTTCTCCTGTATTTCTGGATAAGGTACCAAGCATTCCAGTGGAAGATGATGAAAGCCAGAATAGTTATTCAGCACCTCAGGATAAAGATTTGAGAAAAGATAGAACTCAAAACATCCCTTTTGAGTGCAGTCAGTCTGAGGTCACATTTCTGGGCTTGGAAAGAAAGACAGGGAGTGAGAGAAGAGAGAATGCTTGCTATCCGCCCAGTTCTTGTGAAGAATGCGGGTCCCCAGAGCACTCAGATACGTCCCAGGCTGTGGGGATCACTGAGATCAGTCTGCACTCTTCTTCAGAAGCATCAGGCCTGGCTTACAGGAGTAGGCCAATGGAGAACAAGTGCTCCTCTGTATTTCTTTTGGAATGAAGATGAACAGAACAAAAACAAATGAATTTCATCCGAAGAAGAAAGAGGAAAGCAAGGGTGACTGGGGCATGTGGAGGAGAGGGCATCACTGGGGAAGGCATGATATGCACAAGTAATGCCCAGAGAATGACAGATAGCAGACTTGAATAATGTAGATAATCTGGGGCTGGGAAGGTGGCTCAGTGGTAGAGCGCTTGCCTTGCATGCCTGAGGCCCTGGGTTCAATTCCTCAGCACCACATAAGCAAAAAGAAAAAAAAAAGAATGTAGATAATCTGGACAGTTGCATTCCTTGCTTCCCACACTCCAAAACAGAATAGCTTAAACAAATGTTTTATTTGGGGAGGGGGATAATTGTCTCAGGGTGAAACCCAAGCTACATGTGGAATTATTCAAGATCCTGAATTCTGACATCAGCTAAACAAAACAAGCAAAATCCACCACCAAAGAGGGCTTGCCTTCTCGCCTCTGCTCTGTCATCTCCAAGAGAGTCCTCACTGTCTCTGTCGGCTAAAGACATTCAATTGGGCTCCATTGTTTGAGTATCTGTTGCTTGTTTGCAAGGTGGTAGGAGCTGTGGAATTTGTATAAAGATGATATGTTAATAGATGCCTTTTTACAATTATTGGTCCTTAGTCTTTATCTGTTCCTCCCCATCCACTTTGCCTAGATGGAAAGGAGCTAGGCCCAGCCTTGGCCAGGGCATGTTCTCTGCAGAGAGGGAGTGCTTATCCAGTCTGTATTTCTATATTCCAACACTTAGGATAGTTTATTTAGCATACAGTTTAGCTGTTGACTATTCTTATAAATATTTTGCTAACTCAGAGACCTATCATGTCCTGAGTGGATGAAATTTTAATCAAGTGATTTTTGCTTGTTTTTGTTTGTGCTAGTCCTGGGGCTTGAACTGGGGGTTTGGGCACTGTCCCTGACCTATTGTGCTCAAGGCTAACATTGGACCACTTGAGCCACAGCTTCATTCCTGGCTTTTTTAGTGACTAATTGGAGATAAGGGTCTCATAGGCATTCCTGAGCTGGCTGGCTTTGAAGCACTATCCTCAGATCTTAGCCTCCCAAGTAGCTAGGATTACAGGTGTGAGCCATCAGGGCCTGTCTAATCAGGTCCTTTTTGTTTCACGAAAAAAATAGCTGTTCACAAAGATCAGATTTTTTTTTGCTTGCTTTTATTTTCTGCCATAAAGCGGTGCCCTTCCTCCTACTGCTTCCTGTTGGGTCCCGACAATTGCTGTCCTCCAGGAAGTCCCCCTGATGTGGTAGCACAAAGTACTCACTTTTTCAGCATCTCCATAACAATTTCTTTGTGTTTCTTATCTATGGCACCTACTTTGTGAGTTATCTAAAAGTCACCTTCATTAGCTTACCTCTTTTACTAGGTGGTAAACACTGTTTGTTTTCTATTACTGCTATCACAAACAACTACCAATTTAGTGGCTTCAAGTAGCATGGTTTATTTTTACAGTTCTTGAAGGTCAGTAGTCCTTGGCATTTCTTGTGAAGAAGCTAGGGGAGAATCCATTGTCTTGCCTCTTCTAATTCTGGAGGCCACCTGCATTGCTCAGCTCAGGTATTCTTCTGTCTTCAAAATCACCTCCAACATAACATCTTGTAGTCTCTCCTCTTCCTCCTCCTTCCGACCATTTTCTCTCCTCATTAAAGGCCCTTGTAAGTGCACTGGCTTACTCAAATAATCCAGGAAATCTTCCTTGTTTATGATCCTTAAATTAGCCAAGCTTGCAGGGTACCTTTTTTCCTGTAAAGTCACATAGTCACAGGTTTCTGAGATTAGTACATACCCATTTCAGGGGTAAGGGGACGGCCTTATATACTTCTTCAGTGTTAGAGGGCACCTCTTCGGGGTTTTGTATTTAGCCCACACAGAGCAGGTATTTCCTTATAAATTAAGTTGAATTATAGCTATCTATAAGCCCACATAACTAAAAATATTTGATTTAATAAGCATCACTGAGTAAATGAACAAAGTAAGGATAATGAGTCTTTATGATACTGGATAAAAACTGTCAAAGGAAGCCATTTCCAGAGGTTTCCAGAATCTCTTGCTGCAGGAAGCTTGCAACAAAAGGGTAAAAGTCTAACTTCCTAGGCATCAGCGGAACAGAAATTTTTTTTTGCCAGTCCTGGGGCTTGAATTTAGGGCCTGGGCACTGTCCCTGAGCTTCTTTTGCTCAAGGCTAGCACTCTACCACTTGAGCCACAGCACCACTTCCAACTTTTTCTGTTTATGTGGTGCTGAGGAATAGAACCCAGGGCTTCATGCATGCTAGACAAGCACTCTACAACTCTACCATTAAGCCACTTTCCCAGTCCAGAACAAGGAAATTTTTAAATAATTAATTTTAAGTAATCAATTCTTAACTAAATTTAAATTAATTAAGTTTAATTTATTTTAATGAATTATAAAAAAAAAATCACACAAAAACAAAAACCCAGACATACTTAGTGGCACCTATGTAGTAAAAACTTGGGGACAACTTAAATATCCCTAATAGAAATGGACGATGGGTTAAATAAATTAAATATTATAGCACATACATAAAATTGCATTTTAATGCAACTGTCATTAAAATTATCCAGCTATACACTTACTGCTGTGGAAAATTTGTCTTTGATATGTTATTGGATGGGAAAGCACACTAGAGAATAGTGTCTTTATTATGAGCCTATTTATAACATCAGATATTTTCAAAGCATATATGTTTCATAGATAACTCCTTGCCAGATGTTAATGAATTTCTATTGGAGCTATGGTATTTGCATGACCTTTACTTCCTTTACATTTTTATGCATTTGAAACTTTTAAACTGAGTATGTATCATTTTTATTATCAACAAGGAATATAGATAATTTTATTTTGGAAATAAATAGTCCTTCTTTACCTTTCTGCATTTTTCCTTGGCTCTTTGTTCTGTTGTGGCCTTCAAAACAATTAGAAACTAATCATAATGCATCTATTCCATTGTACTTTATTGGTTGTATCTTCCAACCTACTAGTTAATGTTACTAAATGGATTTGATTGGTATCCCTATGGTTAGTGTTGAAAAGACATGTGGAAATGCAAACCCAAGAGACAAAAGTCAGATAAGGTGAAATACAGGAGAGTAGACAACAGATCACAGTATATTAACAGGGGATTTTATAATTGAATATTAATTGATTTGTTACCATCTTAAGAAAAACTGCCGTTAAGATTTAGGCTTACAAATCTGTGCTTGAAGGAGTTACCTACAGCTTAGCAAAAAGATCTTTGGGGAGATAAAGTTGCACCATAAAGTATTGAATCCCCAGACTTGTGCTCCAGTATCTGTTTTTAGCCTATATAAAAATTTAACTTGCTGAATTTAGTAGACTCTAGGCTGCACTTATCAGGCAGAAATAAAACTGGCAACAGGATGAGAGAATGTGACTGAATATAGTGTCTTTCTGTAGCAGGTAGAGACAGGACCTATGTAACAATGCTAACGGGATCCACAGCGCTGCATTAATTATAAAGGGAAACAGCAAAGTATACTCCAGGGTAAAATACCAAACCTAATGAGTTCTATCTGGAGGGACTATTTTGTGGACGTAACTAAGTTACACAGTGTGTAAATATGATCAAAACACTTCCAAGGCAAATGCAGCTAAAATATTAATGACAGTTTTAAGAGCATAACGTCATACCAATTATATGATGTGATATCCAGTTAATGTATTGGTGCTATTTTGTGTCTCCTGGAAGGGAAATGCTGGGTTATACTAACTGTACCTTCACTGCAAAGCTTTCAGCAAGATGCCAGTTCGAAATCAAGAGTATTACAGTCCAGAGCCAGCCTGGGAAAAATATTCCAGAGACCTCCACCTTAAATAATATATAGCTGGATGTGGCAGTGAGTGACTATCATCCCAGCTACTTGGGAAGTATAAATGGGAGAATGGTAGTCCAGACTGAGCTGGGCAAAATCTGAGATCTTGCTTGAGAAATAACTAATGAATAAAAGGTGATTGGTGTAGCTCAAGCACTAGAGTACTTTCCTAACAAGCACAAGGTCCTGAGTTCAAATCACAGCACTTAACTTTTCCCTCCCCCTAAAACAAAAAGACATCCTTTCAACAAGAGAGAAGTTGAGGAATCAAATTTATAAATACCATATAACATGAAACCATTTTTGAACAGCACATTGAAATGAGATATGAAGAGCCTCTGATTGTTTCCTTACTCTTCTTAATCTCATCATTCACTAATAATCATTTCATGTTATTCTGAATGTGAACAGACTAATTACACTACCATTGCCAGACCATTAAACATTGAATCCTAACAATATTTCTTTTATCATTATTACTGAGGACTTCAAAAAAGAGTTGCATTGACTTCAGCCAAGGGCAAATATTAATCTATGACCTTTTGTTTTTATTTTGTATGCCTTGGAGGACAATTTAAAATTCCTACATCCTTCCACAGCCAAATGTGCATGTTTGTGTGGACTCACCGCCAGCAGTTATAAAGCTATTGCTTGAGATGGGAGACAGGACAATGGCTGACATTTTCATTATGCATTTGTCTAGCATTTTGAAGAGAGGAAAATAATTTATGCGATTATATATAGTCTATCTCGACCATTAAAATGTGCTTTCCTAATAAAATTATCACTGAATTTCAGAAAACATATTCTGATTCATCTACACCTTTCTCCTTACCTCGTACCCTGGCATTATATTCTTAATTTCAACAGTCATTTGAATGACCCAAGTAGCATCATTGCCTTATGGCTTAAAGGTCTTGTTAATCACAGTGAAATCACCTTTCCATTTCACTTCATTCACTATTCCCCAGGCCAGAGTCAAGACCTTCAACATCAGAAATTCTGGTATATTGTCTTTGACCTACAAAGACATCCTGTTAGCTGATCTATTTTGTTTTCTGTCCAATCAACCACAACCTTTCTTTCCCATCTATTCCATATTTTTCTTTGCTTATCCTGGTGGACCATGGGTTTGTATCTGTGATTAGCCTTTCAGAGAACTAGAACAACCTACAAACAGAGGAAAGTTTCAAACAAAGGGAAACATTTAATGGTAGGAATTGGTTATCACAATGTTGAGAAGGCTAGAAGTGTAAAGAAAATGAAAGGAAACTGAATGTACTGCAGGATTAATAAATGACACCCACTCTTACTCCTAT